CGCATTTTCATAATTTTAAATACTCCCCTATATCATAAAGGGCTAGTAATGTATAAATATAATAACATTGATCAACAAGATATAGAAATGTGACTAGACTCATGCTTTTCATTCTGAAATGAACCTTAGGAACTGATTCTTACTAGCATTGGTTTTAAAATAATCCCAGGGTTGTGAGAGGTTTAAATAGAATAATATTGGCCATGTGTTGATAATTATTGAAGTTGAATGATAGGCACATGAGATCTAATTATTCTCCCTACTACTGCATATATTTAAATATTTCAAGAAAGTTTAAAACAGTTGAGAGGGAATTCTGTAGTCCTAAATATTTATGGAGCTACTTCTCAATGATGTGCTAAGATTTCTACCATCCCAAGATTAAACAGTAAAAACCTAAAAACATGTATAGTAGCTAATATTATCTAGTTAGAATTTATATAATTTATAGAATAATTTATAGAATTATAGAATAAATATACTTATTTTTTTCTTCTTTGATAACAGCTAGAAAGTATTTGTCATTTTTATGGGGTCTGAAAAAATCACATATTTTATGTTAAATAAAATAATTTATGTGATTGAAGCTTCACTAATTTATCAATATTGGAGGGGAGACATGGCCTATTTCTTTCATTTTCTTCTTTCTTTCTTTCTTCTCTTTTGCACTTCATTTTACCTTCTCTGAATATTTAATGCACAGGTAAAACTTTTGGTAAATAAATAATCATTCCCTAAAGCTATGCAATTTAAAATGCATTTACGAAAGGTGGAAGGGTCATCATTTATGGTAATGGAGTGTGAACAAACAAATTAATTCAAACTATGAGGGGAAAACTGGTTTCAGGCAGCAATCATAAAACTTTTAGTCTTTGAGACTTTGGTCCCAAGTACATGCACCAGCCAGGAGCCTGCCAGCCACTGGTTATAGCTCACAGCCATCAAGTACCCACAAACCCTCGACCCAAAGTCTTTTCAGTACTTTGATGATAAGTTGACTTTATAATTGCTGTATGGACTTACAAAGGAGGCATTTATTAAAGGGTGAAACCAAATTTTGCTTTGCCATGTTAGAAGAGAAGATGACAAACATAGAAAAATGATTTTGCCTTAGAGTAAATTACTTCAAAGTAAGATTTTCAGAAAACCCATTGGATTTATCCTCTTTGGCAGTATCCAGGAAAGGTTAAGTAACTTGCTGGAGGACACACCCTGAATTAATTGCATAGCTGAAACTAGATTCCAAGTCTCCTAGTTCATATGGTACAGTGATTTTTCAGCTCCTGTAAGAGAGTAAGCAATGGAAATGGATTCTGTACTTATAGATTTACTACCAGCCCTTTATAGCCAAAAGAAGAAATATACATTTAAAGGTTTTTTCCCCTCTATGGCATGCATATATTAAAAACTTTGAAACTCAAGCAGTTTGAACACATACAACGAAGAAATAGTTGAACATCTACATTGACTCTATTTTTGAATAGTTTTAGATATTTATTGCCTTACTAACTTCCATAAATGATGATTTCCCTGATATGCCTGCATAGAATATTCCTTTTGCTTCATATTGTGATGTCCTAGTGATAAATTGAAGAACTGTTAAATTGTGCCCAGAAGGGCATCTACTGGATAAAAATGTCCATTTAAGGGGAAATTTTAAACATCTTATCATCCTTTAGCCTCTTTTGTAAGATTTTTTTTTACCATCATTGGTATTCTCATTAATCCAGATGTAAGGGTCACGGTTACCTTCGGAGTTCAGCTAGGAGTAAAGCAATTTCCTGGACCAAACCCTCAAGTTCAGGTTTAATCAGAAAACATAGGTTTTATTCCCAAGATTGCCTTTAAAAAGCAAGTGACTAGGGTTCTGTCTCATGGGATCCCCAATTAACCGAGGAAAAGGAAATTGCCTTCTCCTTGAATGAGTAGCTGCTGATAGTCTGGCTGTGAGATCTTGATTAACTAGAATATTGACAATTTTAAAAGTTTTTCTCTAATCAAGTCAAATAAATGAATTTCTTAACCAAATAATCTCTTCAACATTCATGGGCATTTTAACACATACCTCAATTCTGTGCTCTCATTGATTTTCTAGTTACAGAAAATGAAAGTTACATCTGAATCACTCAGCTGCCTTATGAGTATAGAATCTATTCAGAGAAAAATAGAATTTTTAATTGCCTGGAAAAAAAACTTCAAATGTTTCATCCATCTCTAATAGACTGCAGTGTATAGACAGGTGCACTCCAATATGATAGCGCCAGCCACATGCGGCTATTGAGCACTTGAAACGTGGCTAGTACAAATTGAGATGTGCTATCAGTGTAAACTACACACCAGATTTCAAAGGCATAGTGTGAAAAAAAATGTAAAATGTCTCATTCATATTTTTTATTGATTTTATGTTGAAATAATATTTTATATAGGTCTATTGAGTAAAGTACATTATTTTTTAAAATTTATTTATGAGAGAGAGAGAAAGAGGCAGAGACACGGGCAGAGGGAGAAGCAGGCTCCATGCAGGGAGGCTGACATGGGACTTGATCCTGGGTCTCCAGGATCAGGCCCTGGGCTGAAGGCGGCACTGAACCGCTGAGCCACCTGGGCTACCCGTAAAGTACATTATTAAAACAGCCCATGATCAGGTTCCTCCTACAAGGTGGGATGCCACTATAGCTAATGAATATTACATTGCAAAGACTGAGAAAATGATATCGTACAAAAGTTAAGTGTATTTTTAAAATTTAAAAATCCAAATCTGAATTCATTTATTTCACTAATTTCCTTTCACTTTTTTAAAAGGAGCTACTGGAAATTTTTGAATTACATACATGACTTGCATCTCTAACTGGTACAAATAACCAGTTTCTGCCCTGCTGGTTCAGCCTCAATTTCTGTGGACTTTGTTTACCCGTATCTCATATTGGTGTGAACATATTGTGTCAGCCTTCAATTATCTGTGCAAATAGGGACTGAGGATACTTTAAATTAAGATATTCCTCAGGTAATTAAAGGCAATATTATAACTATTAATTTCATTCAGTTTTACTCTGAATACTGCCAGAAAATAGTAAGATGATCTGACTTGAGATTCATTCCCTTCCCCTCCTTTTTTAAATGTGGGTTATAGAGAGGAAACTATGAGAAATTAAATACCCAATAGGGATGAAGAAAGAGAAAGGAAATAGGAGGCAGGAATGGATAAGAAACTAGTTCATCTGTTCTTAAGTGGTAGAGCTTGGGTGGCCTTCAAATCTACTTTATGGATTCAGTAATGTTTTCTGATGACCTGCAGTATGGTAGGTTCTTGGTTGATATTGAGAAGTAGCCCACATCCTTACCACATTGTATTGCACTGGTTACCCAAGTGGCTTACTAGTGTGAAAAAAAAAAATCTTGTGGAATAACAAAGCTGGAAGAAATCCTTACTTACATAGATAAGTGCAAAAAACATGGAGACAAGAAGTCAGTCACTTGGAGCAAATAGCCCAAATTAGAGTCAGCTTACAGTAGGTATGCTAATGATACACCAAAGCCCAAAGAAGCAATAACCCTTAAGCATGGCAAGGACGAGAACTTTGGTCACCTTCAAATAAAGTCCTTCTAATAAATATTGGATATTTATTTCACACCAGACCCATTTTAGAAGGGAAAAATAATTGCCCTTGTCTGAGACTTCTTTAGCTAGGAATGTGGGAATACATCATTCCAGCCTTAAAATAATTTAGGCCGCTTAACTAGGATAAAGTTGTTCTTTAATAATGATAAATTAAGTGCTGAATCTAAGAGACTTCCCCAGTGGTTTCAACCCCTTACTGGAAAAGTTTGTTTTGGGGGAATTCAGTGGGTAACTCAGTCTAACCATGAGAGTCAGGTGGGTGCCTGACTAAATTAAGCAGATGCATCTTAAATTATTCAAAGTCACATCTAACAGAGAAATTAGAGTTGTTCTTACCTTGAGAGAAGCAGAGCTATTTCCTTTCCCCATTAAATTCAGATTATCCTACTGACAAGGAAGGTCTTCAAAATCAGGTCACCAAAAACCACTAAATAAGCTTTTGACATTTTTTATACAACTCATTTTTTACTTCTACTCAGCTTACCTTTTAGTAGTCAGTCAGTCATGAGAACTTCTTACTCTTTGTGCGATACTACCAGCACATCCAGCAATTCTCAGGCAAAGGCCTATCAAGTCTGAAAGAAACTTCCTTTATAGGAATAACATTCTTGTTGCCAAATAGTCCCTTTAAATCTTTTTAGAACTGTAACCCTTTTTCTGCTTGTTTTTGAATAAAATGCTTCTATGTGTTCTTTCATTCAATCTTCTTAAAGATGATGATTATAGAGGTTTTACTATCATTATTTTAGGTGAATAAAGTAAAGCCCAGGGAGGTTAATGGAAAGATGTCCAGATAGTCGGCATCAATGAGATTAACCTCCTACCATGCCTCAAAGACCCTGATTCACTTTTTTTTAAGCTTTTATTTATTTATTCATGAGAGAAAAATAGAGAAGCAGAGACATAGGCAGAGGGAGAAGTAGGCTCCCTCTGGGGAGCCCGATGCCGGACTGGATACCAGGACCCCGGGATCATGACCGGAGTCAAAGGCAGACGTCCAACCACTAAGCCACCCAGGTACCGCTTCATTCACTTTTGATAGGCTTTCTGCCTCACCTTTACTTTCTTTTTCTCTCCTTTGTTCTTTTTGTATTCTAGACGTACCCAAATCTGACCATTTTCTCCTAAAGTAATATTTTCACCAGTTGAACTGCCCAAGCTCCTTTGCCACCCTCACAGTCTCACTGTGCCTGAAATCACTCATAAAATGAACTCACCAGCTCCCAGGGGGAAAAAAATTATTACCTTATTCAAATGCTAGAATGTTTCCTTTTGTGTGTATGTCTAAAATTTTATGTCAATTGTTTTGATTTGCCTTTGGAAGTTCTATGGGCCCCTGTGTTGACCAAACGTTGTGTTTTTGCTACCTGTACAAACGCAGAATGTGGCAGTGGCGCCCGGCTCGGCTGACAGGGTTGCTAACGGTGATGGGATGCCTGGAGATGAAGAAGCTGAAAACAAGGAAGGGGAGGATAAAGCCGGAACTGTGAAGTTTGGATGGGTGAAAGGTGTGCTGGTGAGAAAGCTCCTATGTTTCCACCTGAAATCTGTTTGTTCGGTGTCCTCTGAGACTGTCCATAGCAGAGTTGCAGAGCCAGCTAGGTTTTGCCCCACTATCATGTCTGATGTCCCTTTCCATGCCCCTTCAACCCACAGGTAAGATGCATGCTGAACATCTGGGGTGTCATGCTCTTCATTCGCCTCTCCTGGATTGTTGGAGAAGCTGGAATTGGTAAGCATGTCTCCCCATTCCCGCATAGAGTTTTCAATGTCAGCTATAAACTCCATAAGCAACTTGTTTTGACCACGAATGCTGAATGTGAGCTCAAGGTCACAGAAGGAATCTGCGCTCCAGCTCTTTAACGTTGCCTCTTGGACAATGTTTGTCACAGAGGAAAAGTGAAGCGTTAACTTCTGGGAGACTGGAATTTTCCAGCTTGCCGACCAGATAAATGCTCACGCAAATATTTCTATCTTTTCTTCATTGAGTTTTAGGTATACCAATACATAGAGACATGTATATGTGAAATAGCACTGTTCAGATTTGGGGACATACTGACATGTGTGCATCCCCCTTATTGATTATTGGCAAAATTTCACTTGACAAAAACAGCTTGTGGGAAAAGTGGTAACAGCGTGACCTGACTCATGCTGAATTAGTTGGACATTTTCCAAAGAAAATAATTGTGTTACTTTCAGGTGCCAGTGGTAAGAAAACAAAGGTTAATAAAATATTGCCAGGTAGAGGCTTAAAAATAATAGATAAAATGACTAAGATAACATATGTAACTATTACTAATTTTTCTAAAGGAAAATGCATGACGTTGAAATTATTTCCAGTGATATTTATTCCAGTGATTATTTGATGTTTTTAAAGGTGATATTTTATTTAAAATATCTTTTCCTGTGGCAAGCTTTTTATCTTATTGGGAGCATATTGGTAAAAGTTATATAAAAAATTTATTTGAATTTTATCAAAGTCCCTGATTTAATGTGATACAAATTAATGATGTTCCACCTTATACAAGGGAAATACATTATAGATCCACTTTTGGAGAAGCCAAATAAATCATTAGTATCGAGAACATAGAGCTTCAGATGTGCTTTTAGATACTGCTCCAGAATGTATTTTAATTCACATTCAAAGGTACTTGGTCATTATTTATTGCCTTTGCTCCTCAAAACATATTGAGCATCACCAGAAGACTAACTCGCAACAAGAAAGGGCTGAGCTGTAAATTGAAACACTGGAACCAGTTCCCATAGTTTTTCCATGTTTCATGTTTGGCAACTGTTGGGTTCCTGACAAAGGGCTGCTTGCCAGCTTTACGATGCATATCAAATGAATGCTTATAGCCGCAGGGTACAAAATAAGTATATGCTGTTCCATGGAAAATCTGCATCTTAATATTGCCAAGTGTTTGCTCCAGGGTTTCATGCAAAATTAGTTTTTTAAGGGCAGTTTAGTAACTTATTGAGATCATCAAGCAACATTACTTTGTTTGGAGGTGTGAGTGTAGCCAAGGGCAAGAGTAATTCTTTCTAATGCAACTTATTTAACATCCATGCGTTTGGGCAATAATCTGAACTTTAATCAGATCTTACATTATTCTTCACAGTTTCATGCTTATTACAGAGTTATAAAATATGAAGAACCCTATCTTCTGCTAAACTGTACTGTATTTTCAGACATCAGTATTGTTTTAACAAGGACCTATTTATTTAAGTAGTCATACCCTACTTTAAATGGGTGTCTAGTGGATTTTCCTTTGAACAAGAGTTTGTTTGTTGTTGTTTAGTTCTCACGGAATAGACTTTAGTGAGTCATAGAAACTTATTACCACCCTTACTCAGTTTTACTGGCCTTTGCTGTGAAATTAAAGCTAAATGAGTTGATTAAGTCACCTTCTGGGTCCCATTTGGATTCCCTTTATTGGGTAAGAAAAGAAGCAAATACAAGTAGTTTCTCTTTGTTGTGGGGATAGTTTGGGGAAGAAACCTGAATACATTTTCAAGAGGAGATTCTGGGAACAAAGCCAGAAGGAAGCTGTAGCCCTGAGTCACTGTAGCTACAGCCCCTGGATAGTCGTTCCAGGGCCATGAGTTTGGGCTGTCCTTTCCCCAAAAGCAAATGATAGAATAAACCACAAATGCCATTGAATTGGTCTTCTCTGACTCGGAGACCTTGGCTGGGGCAAGATAGTTTCTAATAAATATCAAGCATGGAAGAAGGATATGATGAAACAGGTATGACTTGAAGCAAGTCATTTATATACTCCATGAGTTTCATTTCCTCATCTGAAAATTAAGGAGCTGGATTAATCATTTCCCAATCAATTCTCTGAAGATAAAGCTAAAGAACCCTGCTGTCTAGGCAGACACAAATTGAGATAGGCTAAGGTAGCACAGTAGTCTTCAGACTGTGGGGTACCTGAGAATTACCCTGGAAGTTAGGTTACAAAACCACAGAATCCTGGGATTCTCTTTGAAGGATTCATACTCAGTGAGTCTGGGCATTTTTAATAAACACTTCAGGACTTTCCTGAAGTAGGTGATTCAAGGACCTCACTTGGAGACAACTACAAACTGAATGTTCTTGAAGCTGCCTCTTACCCTGGGATTTCATGTTTGACTGTGAGAGAAAAGCAAATCTCTTGCTGTTTAAATGTATAAAACTTTGTTCCAGGATTTCAAATGGTTTACAGAAATATATACAATGCAAACAAATAAGTAAGAATTTTTGGGGAAACAGAAGTGAAGGGAAAATAAGGGTAGGGAAATAATAAAGTCAGAGTAGCTTTAGTGTCCTGAAATGCAAACTATAGAGCTCTGTGTAGTTGCTGGGGTGAGCTAAACATTTGACATCAAATGTCCTCAAAACAAAATCAGAAGCAGTAGTGTGCAAAAGATAAGAAGAAATTACCTGTTGGGGTGCAAAGAACTGAGGCCGCATGGTGATGCAGAGGTGATGGTCACCACAGAATCCCTGCCATACATTTGAAGAATTTAGTGCAACTGTTTCTCACAACACCAAACTTGAAGAGTCTTTAGGGACTGAAGCAGTATGGTCCAAGTTTGCATCTCATGCCTACAGTTAGTCTCTTCCTATTGCACTTCAAACTGTAAAAGAGCCTGGAGACTTCTTATAGAGCCAAGATATAGCATGGAGCATCAAGAAAGGCAGCCTCCAATGCCTTGTTTCCATTTCTGAATGTCCTTCCTTCTCCCAGGGCGTGGCCAGAGAGATCACAGCCTCCTTTAGAAGACTCCTGTTCTGATTATCTCTGGAATGAGAGAGCCTTCCAACAACAATTATGCAGCATCCATTTCATGTGGGGGAGCATACCTAACAGACCCAGGCGAGAGCATTCTGGCTAGAGCCAGGGTGATTTCAGTGCCTCTGACCCCACACATCTTTCTGTAACACTGGCAACCAACTGCCTAACGAGAGAAAAACAATTGGAAGTTTATTAACTCACACATCATGTGTACACATGAGAAGACTCAACAATGAGTCATTCAAAGGAGAGGGCTTACGTAGTATATTTTTATTATTTTTTCTCTCTCTTTTTTTAAAGTTTATTTATTTATTCATGAGAGACAGAGAGAGAGACAGAGAGAGAGAGAGAGAGAGAGAGAGAGAGAGAGAGGCAGAGACACAGGCAGAGGGAGAAGCAGGCTCCATGCAGGAAGCCCAATGTGGGACTCGATCCTGGGTCTCCAGGATCAGGTCCCGGGCTGAAGGCAGAGCTAAACCGCTGAGCCTCCCAGGCTGCCCTTATATAGCATTTTATTAAGAGAACAAGAGATTTTTGGAGAAGGAACAAGACAATGGAAAGGACTGAGTTTCTAGGGTGGCAAATTGCGGGAAGGCAGACACATGGGGAAAATAAGTAACGTTTGTTAGTACGTTCCTCTTATGCTACCCTAGCTGATAAGGCTCTAGAATTGGCTCTGACCATTACTTTCTGCCCTTCCCAGTATAGAGGAAAGTGGAGACCACTTTACAAACTTATATCTTGTTTTTAGGCAAAAAGGGGGAGGTATCTGGTTTTTTTCTGTCACCTTCAGTTCAAAATAATCTTTCTGCTAAAGTGGTACATTTTGGGGTAGCATATCATGCTACCCTTCAGCATCCTCTTGACTGTATGTTTTCTGAAGCTGAAAGCAGCCTTGTCTTTCTCTGAATTCCATTTATCACCTTCTCCCTCTTAGAATCATTGACCTTTGCACCATAAGATCCTTGAAGCAGCTTTCTTCATTTCATTTCATTTGTTCCTCGCATCTCACATGCTACCTGACACCAGCTGGATGTATAGCAGGCTTTCCGTGAACAACACCTATTTACAGCTATCGTGGACATGACGAAAAAGCAGGGCCACTGGTTGTGTACTATGTTCTACTCACCATGCCAGCCAGCCACTTTAGACATGTGCTTTCAAATTTCATTGCTCTTTTTGGTTCAGAAAATAAGTAACTTGCCAGAGGTCACATAGCCAATCGGTAAATGTAGTTCAATTTTGATCTTTCCACTTTACTTATCTGCCAGATGAACAATTTACTACATTGTATATAAATCTGCACTCCCAGACAACCAAATGTACATAAAAAGATAGTTACCTGGAAGGATGAACATTTACTCTCCAGTGATATTAGCGGCTTAGAATTGTATTGACCAATTTTTATGTCTGTAGGCATCTAGAACGTAAAAAATGGGGTTCACATTAAATTTTGACCAGCCATGGTTGTTCAGTTCTGGGCAATTTTCACTGCACATCTTAGCTCTCCAGTTTCTAGGATCTGTGCTGCTACAGGCAGAAACCTTCAAAGCTGAGCATTTACTCTGGTGGTTTCCAGGCCAACTTGTTAATTCAAACATGGTCCTTTGGTGATTACCCTAGATTTGCTGGCTTTTATGTAAACGATCTAATGGATTGTTTCACTGTTTAATTGCCTTTATTTTTCCTCTCTCAACTGAGGTCTTGGTGTGATTATCATCGGCTTAGCCGTGACAGTGACTGGTATCACTGGTTTATCCACCTCTGCTATTGCCACAAATGGATATGTCAGAGGAGGTAATTAAACGTGTGACCCGCATGATCATTTGTAAGGTAAAGGCAACACAGGCTCAGATAGCTCACCACTGACCTTTCTGGAGTGTGTTCAAAGGTAATCCAAGTCTGTTTCTTTCTTTTCTCCTCCAGGCAAGAGAGATGCAAGAAAAATGGGGAAGGATTTAACCTTTGTCAAGCCCCCAACTTTCTCATTCAGGTTCCTCTCAAGCAAGAGAGAAGGTCAAATGTCATGTTTTCTCTTTTCACAGCCAGGGTAGTTCCTCTCCCAGGACACCAGCAGAAGTCAACTTTTCCTTTCCAGGGCTGCATTTTAGATTGTGTTTACTTTGGGAGACCATCCTTCATCATAATGAGCAGGCCTCCGACTTGATCTTTATGCCAGGCAAACCAGTTTCTCCGGAGCACAAAGCAACTCCACTGGGGCCCAAGGCGTGGAGGTGAAAACTTAAATCAGAGGCAGTATAGTTTGCAGCAATAGGGAATCCAAGTAAGAAAAGTAAAATGTACTATCTTTTATTTTTCATTGCTAACAGGTCTTGGAGTTCTCATAATTCTCCTTTCCACCATGGTAACTTCTATTACGGGGTTGTCAACTTCTGCAATAGCGACTAACGGGTTTGTTCGTGGAGGTAACATTTTTAAGATACCTAAATGCCCTCATCGCTTGCCACGGGTAGGAAAAGTTTTTATATACTTCTTGTTGACTGGAGCAAGCAAGTAGCCTCGATGTTTCTGATGCCTGGTGAACTACATAGGTGAGCTGGATGCAGAAGGAACCTAAGGTACCATGAGTTCAGGCCTGGTCCGTGCTGGTCACCTATGGGATCTCCTCTAATGGACCTCTCTGGCACATTGCAGCTCGTGGCTTCCAGATGCTCAGATTCCTCTGGTGAATGTTTTCTTTTTCAGGCCAGTTTGCACACCCCTTGCCAGCAGTGTCTTGGGAAATGATCCCTGGACATGGCTTCAGTTTTAAAGTTCAGTACATTTCAGGGGCTCCTGAGACCTCCATGGACTGGGATCATTTAGAACATTTCAGGTTTTTCATGGGGAGACCAACTCTGCTGTGACAAGACTCAGACCACTGCTTCCTGAAGTACTGGTGACTTCTTGATTTACCGGAACCAAACACTTTTCTTGGGGGATTTTGCAGGTCTCGGAGTCATCATCATTGGCCTGAGTGTGGTAGTGACAACACTCACAGGTATTTCTATGTCCGCTATTTGCACAAATGGAGTAGTAAGAGGAGGTAAGCCAATTCATTTGCTTATGACTACAAGCTTGGGTTACAAAGTCATGTCTAGAATTGGTTTAATGCTGGAAGCAAAATTTGCATATTCATAATTAGTCCCCAAAGCCTTAAAGCAAAGTGAACTAACCCAAATTTAAACATCAAGGCAAATTCTCTCAAATAAAATTAAGAGATCTCTAGAAGGTTTTCTTTGACCCATTTCCTGTGATTAAACATGTTTATAAAGAGTGACCAGGTGTCCAGAAAGAAGGAATAAATAATTACAGTAAAATATATGGTTTCTTTGTGCCTTGGCTGAGCCCCACTGGCCCTCTCTCACACCCACTCCACACCCCAGCTGACACTTCCCATTTGGTAAGCCCTCAGAATTCACCCTAACACGATGCTCCCAGTGGCCCACAGGCCTGAGAGGATCCTTTAAAAGAAAATAGAAGCAAATAAACAGAACAAAAAGTTACTTTTAAATCATCCAGGAATAAGCAGGACTAGCAGAAAGTGAAGAGGGTGAGTCTGTCATTGCTGCTGTAACTCATCTTCCCCTCTCCCATTCTATTTGGCTCCTGGGGCCTCAATCTTAATCAGATGTTCCTACCCAGGCCCTTCTAAGAGCACTCTCCCTCCCACAAACACATATCCTCTCACAGCTTCCCCTGCCCCTCTCTCATTTTGAGAAGCCTAAGTCACTGACTAGCTAATTTATTTAATGTAGTGTGGACAAAGGGGATAATGGAGATTTGCTCCACCAGAGAACTGGTTACATCTCTAAAGAGAGCTTTGACCCTTTACCCCAAAGGAGTTACTACAGTGGAGGAAATTCCTTTTCCATAAAAGGAAAAGTTTTTGTTCTGTTTTGAGATGTTTGTTTGGTATCATTCCCCTACCAGTTCTGTCCACCTCTGAGACTCGCTCGGTATAGGAAGTCATTAGTTTGCAATGGTCTGTTGGAACATCTAGCTACCTAGGCCTCTTGACATTTAGCCTTTTTTACCTGCTCTCAGCACCCTCTAGGAGTTAACCAACACAGCTCAGACTTTTGTGCACAGAAAGAAACCAACACAGCTCAGACTTTTGTGCACAGACTTTTGTGCACTTTTGTTCACAGCCATACACAGAACCATCTTTTCAAGGTCCAAAGGAGAAGCAATTGTTCCAAACCCTCCCAGTCTTCCTTCCCATTTGCCATCCCCATATACATATGGATATTTGGCAATAATCATGCCTTCTTGAGCTAAAAACATAGAGAACTCATTCCAATTTATAGAGTGGATAATGTGTAGCACTATACAGAAAACTTTGTAAAAAAGATTTATTAATTTATTCTGCGGGTGGTGGGGAGGGGCAGAGGGAGAGAGAAAATAGCAGACTCCAAGCTGAGAGCAGAGCCCAATGCAGGCCTCCATCCCACAACCCTGAGATCACAACCTGAGCTAAAACCAAGAGTCTGCATTCAATGGACTGCGCCACCCAGGGGCTGTGTATACAGATACCTGTTTATGCTGCAAATATGTACCAGAAAGGAAGTTAGAATAGCAATGATAAACTTCACCTACTTCGTTTTCTGCCTAGACCTGCCTGTTCCTGGAGATTTCGAATATAAAATTTTACTTTGACTACATTATTGATTTAAACTTACCAGTGAATTTTTTTGAAAAGGCAAAGCACTTTGTTTTGGTAAAGTTTGCTATAGTCTTATTTGAAACATTTGTATACAATTAGGTTTCGATAAATCAGAATTTACTATGTCAGGATAGTTCTACTGTGTTCTGTTACAGTTCTCAGAGTACAAGGAAAGGCTAACTTACTCATTAAAGTGACACAAGATTCCTAAAATTATTAGGAAGTTGCGATATTTTTACTAGAATAAAAATTATCCAAAATTATTTGGTCATATAAACTAAATCCCTTAGCAGTTCCTCAGAGTAAAGTATGTTCATTTTTTTGTTTTAGGTGGGGCCTACTATCTTATTTCCAGAAGCTTAGGGCCCGAGTTCGGTGGGTCTATAGGCTTGATCTTTGCTTTTGCCAATGCAGTGGCTGTTGCTATGTATGTGGTGGGATTTGCTGAAACAGTGGTAGATCTTCTTAAGGTAATTACAAGTTTTTCTTTTCTTCAACCAAGTAAGATAATTCAATTCAATTTGCCTTTTTCAGAGCGCTAGGGGATATCATTATGGCAAGAGAGAAGAAATAGTTTTATTCTGTAGAATGTGGATGTTGGATATAGTTGAAATTCTAGGCTTGGCCTCAGAACTGACTTGGAATCCTGGCTCTCTTATTTATCAGCTGAGACATTCTCAGCCAGTCCCTGTATTCATCTGAACATTGCCTCTCAAATCTATCATATGGGCTAATAATATTGATCTATGTATTTCATGGAAATTTGGTACAGAACAAATGAAATAATGTACATGAAATACTATGTAAAATATGAAACAAAAGATAAATAATGAGTTAGTTATTGTCAGCAGCAATATTACTACCATGGTTATAGATTTCCAAAAGGAAAGATAGTTCAAACGTTAAAACAACTCACTGGAGAGAATTAAGCATTTCCTAGTTTAGGTGCTCTGTCTACACAGCATTATGTATGTGAGCATGTTAACTAGTTGATATGTGAACTAACTTCTAGTTCTCCTTTCATGGTCATGATAATATTCACTGAATTCAATTAATAATAGTACCTTTATTTGAAAATTAGATGAATAAATGAGTGAATTATATAGTTCATAAGGTATGTTATCTTCAAGAAATGTGTTATTTCGTTTATAGAGTTTGTTATTTAATTGAATATTTATTTTCCAATATTCACATTTAAAATGACTTATTTTCATTTATCTAAGATTCCCCTTGATACACAAAAATAGTCATTCTTCTGAAGCAAAACATTGTATTTATATGTGTACCTACTTATCTTAGTGCTATAATAGTTTTTAAAGCTGTGACTAGAATGAGCATCTAGGATTTCCAACTCTTAACCTTGGCTGCCAAAGGCTTATTATAATAGGACAAAATAATATTAATCTCAAATTTAAGGAGCACTTCATTTTTCTATTATCCTACATGGTCATTAGTACACAGTTTTTCTTCTTTACTGTTCAATTCTACACTACGGCATTTGGGCAAAAAAAGCTCTGTCTCTAACCATTTTGGCGACTTTTGTTGTTGTTCCAGGAGAGCAATTCAATGATGGTGGATCCAACCAATGACATACGGATAATAGGCTCCATCACAGTGGTGATTCTTTTAGGGATTTCAGTAGCTGGAATGGAATGGGAAGCAAAGGTGATTTTCTCAAAATGATGTTATCAGCCACTGCTGCTCAGGTCTTGACCAAATTGCAGGAATAGAACATACCCCATATTCAAAAAGAATTGCTATTATTACCTGCTATGTCAGAAGTTTCAGGTTAACACTGGGGGGCGGGAGCCCCAAGCCCTCAAAGCATGATGTTGAGGCAGTCACGACTCACCGCTCATGTGTCACATGATCAGGCCTCAACTCTGTCCTTTGTGCCGTCATTACCATGACATAGACACCAAGGTGGCTGCCATCATCACACACAGACCCCGTATGATCGTGGCAATGGTACATGCTGGGTACACCTCAATCCCACTGCGGTCCTATTCTCAAGCTGACTGTGAGTGCTGAAGCCCAAAGGAAATGGCCTATGTGATGGGACAAGGGAATAGAGGCAGAAGCTATCATTCTCCTCTGAGACACAGTACTTCAGGAGCAAATTTGAGATTATTGTAGGTCCTGGAACTAGAGAATATCTGGACTTAACTAGTAGTAATACAGTAGGTAAAATTCTGAATGATGGGAGAATATCTTTTCCCTGATTTAGGACTCTCTAGAGTGACTGGGTGTAATCATAACAGGTCTTAAGTGCCTGGAGATACAGTACCTAGACCTCAAGAGGTCACCAGCCCGCCCACCTACATAAGGCAATGGAAATCATTCCTTATATGGCATTTATTTGTGGTTTATTTAGTCACATGTCAAATGAAAATTAATCTAGTGCTTGTTACATGCTGGGCATTCTGCTAGGTACTGCATATTCAGTTGTGACCCAAGCAAGCACAATCCTGGCCCTAGTTGAGCATATGGTCTGTGGGGATATGAGTAACAATCAAGTAGATAAACAAGTAAATATAGAATGGTGAACTGTGAATGTGCTATAAAGGAAATAAACAGGGCACTGAGATAGAAAATAAGGGGAATCTGCTTTCAATGACTTTATTCCCTGAGGGAGGCAATGTAGCTTTGTGGCAGTTAGAGGGCAGGTTTAAAGCTCTTGCTCTATTGCCACAGCACTTGGATTTTATTCTGGTTTACATCCGTATGATCTTACCTCACCTCTCTGTGCCTCAGTTTATCTTTAAAATGATAACAGTATTACCTACTTCATACAGTTATTGGTGGTATTATTTATCTGAAAGAATACTGGTAAACTTAAGTCTGTCTGTTATTGTAAGCCCTCAGCGAATTTTAGCTGCTATTATTTAGATTCAGTGGTCAAAAAAAATCTTCTCTGAGTAAGTAACTAAGACTTAAAGGATGAAACAAAGGAAATGTTATGCAAAGAGTAGGAAAAAGGTGCATTCTCTACAGAGGGAACAGCATATGGGAACGCCAAGCCAACAGACCCCAGAAATGTCAGCAGGGGGAGTAGGGGATAAAGAAAGGCCATTTGAGGGATCCCTGGGTGGCGCAGCGGTTTGGCGCCTGCCTTTGGCCCAGGGCACGATCCTGGAGACCCGGGATCGAATCCCACGTCGGGCTCCCAGTGCATGGAGCCTGCTTCTCCTTCTGCCTATGTCTCTGCCTCTCTCTCTTTCTCTCTCTCTCTTATGTGTTATCATAAATAAATAAAAAAATTAAAAAAAAAAAGAAAGGCCATTTGATTGGTCAAACTTGCAAACCACATATGCTGGGCACACACTGGTGGCCCAACATCAAATGCACAAGGCATCACAGGAACTCTACAAATTATTGTGTTATTAATGCAACTGCTGTTGCATTTAGCACTGGGAAAGGAAAGAATCCATAGGCACTCTGCCTAGAAAAGAAATAGATTCTATCAGTGATAAAACTTTGGGCTCCACTTCTATTCCTGAAGACCCTGCAGTAAGCCACCCACCTAATACTTAGAATGTTTTTGAAATATCCCCTTCAAGTGCCCACACATATGCCCCCATTAAAAATGTAACTTCCACACTCAAGTCAGATAAGGCTTGTTAAGATGCCATTCTATAGGGATATACTATTACCTACTCTGGATAGTAGTTTTAACCAGAATAACCAGACAGAGTCTTTCTCCAGTGGACTTTCAGTGGACATGACTTTTATAATTATGTAAAAAATTGTTACATAATTCTCTTATTTTGCCCTTCCAGGCTCAGGTGATACTTCTGGTCATTCTTCTCATTGCTATTGCAAACTTCTTCATTGGAACTGTCATTCCATCCAATAATGAGAAGAAGTCCAGAGGTTTCTTTAACTACCAAGGTACGTGTGACAGATGAGTTGCTTCACAATCAGTGGTTCTTCACTGCCTGTCTCCATCATCATCCCTGTGATCCCCATGTGACCATGAGAATCCCATTGTGATCCAGGGAAGAGCCTGGAGTTGGGCTCAGGAAATCTGGAGTGAGTCTCAACCCTGCTGCTTGCCAGCTAGACCAGTCACATAATGTGTTTGGGGCTCGAATTTCTCTCTTGAAGTGTGAGCAATAACTTACTGAGGGGATTTTTGAGAAGTAAAAAAGATCATGGATGCAAAAGGTGCTTTGAAAACCTTCAAGTGTGGGACAAATTGTTGTTGCTGTCAAATACTAGAAGTAGAGTCATACATGCAAGGAAAGAAAACACAGTTCAGACAATTTGTTCAACCCTTGAGAACACTAAAGCCAAACATAGCCATTTTACTGCTGGGTTTTTTTTCTTAAGGATTTTATTTTTGAGGCACCTGAGTGGCTCAGTTGGTTAAACATCTGCCTTCAGCTCAGGCCATGATCTCAGGGTTCTGGGATCAAGTCCCATATGGTACTCTTGCTCAGTGGGGAGTCTACTTCTCCCGTAGCCTCTGCCCACTACTCTCCTTGCTTGTACTCTGTCTCTCCGTTTATTTTTTTTAAAGATTTTATTTATTAGTAATCTCTATACCTAGTATGAGCTGAAACTCACAAACTGAGATCAAGAGTCATATCCTCTACCTCCTGAGCCAGCCGGGCACCCCCCTGCTAAACTTTTTTTGCACCTTGCTTATCTATAGCATTACCTAGTTAAGCACCACTGTCAGGTTTTCAAGCACAAAAGATTGTTGGCATTGGTGTAGGATCCTGAGGGAATGTCACAAAGCATGAAATTCTACTCCACCTATGCACATCTTCCGAGCTTTCCACTCTAGTTTACTCAAGAATCCACTGTTGAAATTTTGTTTGTTTATTTATTTTTAAGATTTTATTTATTCATGAGAGAGACAGAGAAAGAGAGAGAGAGAGAGGCAGAGACACAGGCAGAGGGAGAAGCAGGCTCCATACACCGGGAGCCCGACATGGGATTCGATCCCGGGTCTCCAGGATCGCCCCTTGGGCCAAAGGCAGGCGCTAAACCGCTGAGCCACCCAGGGATCCCCTACTGATGATATTTTTAAAATATTTCCCTTTATTATTTATTCAGTTATTAGTATCTGTTTCCTTTTGGTATCAGATCATTTCTTTCTTCCTGATTCTTCTTTGTAAAGTTTGTCTTTTTTGCTTTGCAGGTTAACATCCTTTTCCTTTCTATGTTTTTCCCTCTTCTAGCTCTTGCTGTATTTTTTCTGATGACTTAAATTTTCTTTCCTTGTTTTTACATCATCCCAGATTCTTTTGTTTGCATTTTCCTTCCCTCATTTTTCTGTTTTTCTTCTACATTATTCCCTTCTCATTTAAGTAATTTGTTGAGACCCCCTGGGATAGTATTATTTTATGACCAGCATTCCTCATTACTATTATTCTCCTATATATGAGAATTTAGTATAAGAATTTAAGATCTGGGATCCCTGGGTGGCGCAGCAGTTTAGTGCCTGCCTTTGGCCCAGGGCGCGATCCTGGAAACCCGGATCGAATCCCACGTCGGGCTCCCGGTGTATGGAGCCTGCTTCTCCCTCTGCCTATGTCTCTGCCTCTCTCTCTCTCACTGTGTGCCTATCATAAATAAATAAAACAAAAAAAATTTAAAAAAAAAGAATTTAAGATCTAATCTCTGGGAGCAAGGAGTGGGAAGGTTAGAACATAAACATCAAAAATTTAAGATAGTTTTGCCCACAAGTTTCTCCTATGATTTTTTTTTAAAAAAGCATATAAAAGCAGAAAAGCTGTGTGTTGATTAGAGTAGTTATGCATGTAAGAGAGTAGTTATGTGTGTGTATAGGGCAGGGTATGTGTGTGGTGTGTGTGCTATATTTGTGAATATACCAGTATGGTCATGAGAAGAATTCTCCATTTCCCTCTTTCTCAATATTCTAGATTCAAAAAAGTCAGGAGGCCTCGGTCTCTATTGGCACAAAAATTTTTCAGAGCCATCTTCTGGAGATCTAAAACCTTGTGATATATATGCCGACTCTTAGCAAATATTAACACGAGGTTTACCAGGAATACACCAACATTTTCAAATTAATTCCATTTAGCACATAGGGACCCATTTATGTGATACATTGATAGAAGCTAAAGGTAACTATCTACTTTTCTGTAAAGAAAGTCTACATGATAATATTCTCATTATTTGTGTTGCAGCATCAATATTTGCAGAAAACTTTGGGCCAAGCTTCACAAAAGGTGAAGGCTTCTTCTCTGTCTTTGCAATTTTTTTCCCAGCAGCTACTGGGATTCTTGCTGGTGCCAATATCTCAGGAGATTTGGAGGTATGTTGTTTTCCTCTGCTTTTGTAGTACTCGGAAGTCGTGGTGCAGTTGGTGAGCAGCGTGAGTTATAGAGGTCAACGGAGACCATAGTTCCCTAAAGATGTTAAAACTAAAATTTCTGTAAGAGTCCCAGTAATTTAAAAGCTTTCTCTTTTAATGCCAAAATTTAATTTCAGACCATCCTACTTCCAAGAGTCCTTCCAAAAAGACTTATTCAGTGATATCAGAAAAATAAAGTATATTAACACCATATAAAATTTCTAAGAAAATGAATATAACTCAGTGAAAAAAATATCAGAGCTCTTTTTAAAACACATAAGGAACAAAAACACATAACATTCAGGAAGAAAAAAAACCCACCCACTTCCCACCAAATCACTTTATTAGTGAATTTTTATGTCATTAAATTCAGAGATATGTTCATTCATTTAATCGGTATATATTTAGCACTCTATTCATATTACTTGATGTTAAGTATTGTAAGGAGCATTATGTTAGAATATTGAGTTGAATGTTTTATAAAAGATTGGTAGCAGTGACCTAACCAAGATAGAAGTTTATTTTTCTAGTGAATAAAAATCTGAGCTCATAGGCCATGCAGTGGATTAAGAAAAGTCTGCTCCAAAAGGTAGCCCACAATCCCAGATGCTCTCTCTTGATTTTTGGAAACCTTGGAGTTTGCCCTCACCTGCAAGGTCCAAGATGACTGGTCACTTCCAAGATAATGTTCTAGCCTATAGGAAGTGAAATAAGGAATAGAGGGCAAGCAATTCCTGGACCTTGAAGGTATTACTTCTGCTGACATTTCACTGGTCAAGAGTTTAGTCTCTGCGACCTTGCCTACTTGAAAAGAAGACTGGGAAATGTAATCTCTAGCTGGGCAGCCATGTTCCTAGAATTTTAGAGAGTTCTAGTGTTAAAGGGAAGAAGGTGAAGAAGGTGTGAATGGGTATTAGGGGGTACTAAACAGTCTCTACTATATACAAAAAAGGAGAAGGCATAGGTTTTACTTCAATAAATTTATAATCAGGGCAGCCCCTGTGGCGCAGCGGTTTAGGGCTGCCTGCAGCGTGGGGTGTGATCCTGGTGGCCCGGGATCGAGTCCCACGTTGGGCTCCCTGCATGGAGCCTGCTTCTCCCTCTGCCTCTCTCTCTCTCTCTCTCTGTGTGTGTGTGTGTGTGTCTCTATGAATAAATAAATAAAAATCTTTAAAAAAAATAAATTTATAATCAACTTTGGAAGATAAGAAATATTTGCAAGAGCTATCAAGAGACATGGTATAAATCAAAATCTTATGTACTGTCTAAATAAATCGTGAAATAAACATAATAGTTGTTAAGTCCAAGATGATTTCCTCAAGGACGCTATCTTTAAGTGTGAACTTAGAGCAAAAGCTCAATACTGACTATTGATAAGAAAATGTAAGGGTATTCCAGGTAGAGAAGACAAAAGAACAGTCAGTCATGGGGATGCTGGAGGCAGTAAGGGATACCTCACAGTTCAACTGGAGAAGCTCTGATGAGGCTGGATGACCTTATAACATAAGGAGAAATAGCTATTGGTGGAACCTAAGCAAGAGAGGCCTGCCCTGGAATATATAACTCCATGAGAGTGGAGACCTTGCCTTTGGTTATATTCGTTGCTACTTCCTCAGAGCTAGTAAGGTTTCAATAAATATTTATTTATTGAATGAATAAAGGCATTTTGATTTGTCATATTAGGGGTCACAGTGCCATGGTAAATTCTTGAGCTGAGATACGGCATAAAATAGATTAGGTGGAGGCTCAGAAAATTAAGTTAATTTGTTCAAAATGGTTCAAGTAGTTAAGTATCACTGCTTAACAAAATTTAGTAATGGATGTGGAGCTTCCAGTTTTTCAGATTTGGGAAAGTATCAGAGGTCACTGATTTAAAATCCTGCAAACTGTAAGCACACATTTAAATGAAAGAATATTGTGCTTTCCTTAGAAACAAGTTCGTATTAAACACTTAGTCATCAGTTCAGCTCAGCCAACACTTACAGAGTGCCTACTGACAGCAGGCACTGGGGAAGCAAAGAACTCAATCCTCCCTTCTAGTTGCTCATGGTCTAAGGTGAAGACAGACTCCCTCTGTATGAGTCGTAAGAAGCAAGAACAGAATCATGCACAAGGGAAAGAAGAAATAGTAATCGCCTGTCCCTGAAGAAGCAAGGGGAGGCTTTCAGAGGATGGGGACACTCCATCCAGATTTCAAGGGGCAAACAGGGGTTCATCAATAGAACAAAGAAGAGGGAGACAGTCAGAACAGAAGGCCTGGAGTGTCATGTCAAAAGGCACAGGGAAAGATGCTGCTGATGGAAATTAATTTATGTGTGGATTGGGGTATGCAAGTAAAATCGCTTTAGCAAAATTTTCATAAGCATGTTTATAAAGGACCTTCTGTGTGTCCTGATGCTATGGGAGCAAGCAAAAACCCAGAAGATATCCCTGTCTAAAAATGGTAGCACATAAAGCTCCTTTCTCACAAAATGACTGTTGACTTGATTTAGAGGTGCTATACTACTAAGCAGTTTTATTTCTCTATCCAGTCTGTACTGAGAGTCTTTGAGTTTGAGCTGATACATAAAGAAAATGTAGAGAATGTTCTGTCATGATTTCTTTTTAAAAAAAGATTTTATTTATTTATTTGGGAGAGAGAGAAACAGAGATAGCAACAGCACAGGCAGAAAGGAGAGGGAGAAGCAGGCTCTCTGCTGAGCAGGAGCCCAATGCAGGACTCGATCCCAGGACCCTGGGACCATGACCTGAGCTGAAGGCAGGTGCTTAACTGACTGAGCCACCCAGGCACCCCCCTGTCATGATTTTCAAGGCATGTGTAATCATAGTATTATAAAAAGTTGCATTCTTTCTACTTTAAAATACTTAGGTGATTTTGCAATTAAGTGTGACTTTCAGCACATACACTACTATATTGTATTAAGTGGAAGTCAGAGACCCTTTAAACTACAGAAAAGGGAGTTTGGATGTTATCCCAAAACTAGCTAGAGACACTAAGGCAGTTAGTTCAGGGAGCAAGCTGTTTAGATGTGTGTTTTAGAGAGAGCCAGCTAGCAGCTTGTAAGGATGGATTAGAGGGTGGAGGGGGGTGATAGGTAGGGAGGCTGGGGGCAGAAAGATCAGTTAGACGATAACACAGCAGTCTGGACAAAAGATGGCATGTGCCCGATTTAAGGCCATGGCAGGGGGAAAGGATCAAAGGGGTCAGCTTTTGTTAGGGTTAGGAGAGGAAATGGAAAGAATGTTTTCTACGATGATCTGCAGTCAGAAGACATTATACATCACAATCAAGTTCACACATATAAAATTTTCCCCCAGCAGTTCTTAACTTTATTACAAATGATGTCTTCTGATACTGTCACATCAGTTCTATTTTATTGTATTCTTTTTATGCTGGGTGCAACCTACCAAATTGATTCCATGCAGTAATTGCTAAGGATAAAGAAGCACAGATCTGGCCATTTAGGTTGGCATGGCAAAAAAGGACATCAGAGTGGAGCTGTCTAGTAGGTCACTGGATTTATGAGTCTGGAGCTCTGGAAAGGTACTAAGGCGGGACTCGGAGCCATGGCCTGGATGAGTTCATCCAAGACTGTGCAAGAGGGAGGAGTGAAAAGGACCAGGAAAGTGCCCAGGGAACATTCAAAATATATATGGTAGAAAAGGTGGCCATGAAGAAGAAAGACAGAGCCATCTTGGAGGTAAGGGAACGCAACAGCAAGTGGGATCATGAAGGCCAAGAGAGGAGAATGCTTTAAGAACAGTAATTAACAGGAGGTGCCTAGGTGCCTCAGTCAGTTAAGCATCTGCCTTTGGCTCAGGTCATGATCCCAGGGTCTTGGGATTGAGCCCTGCATTGGGATCCCTGCTCAGTGGGGAGCCTGATTCTCCCTCTCCCTTTGCCCACCCCCACTCATGTTCTCTCTCGCTCACTCTATTCTCTCTTTCTCGCTCTCAAATAAATAAAAATTATTTTTAAAAAGAGAGAGAAGGAGTAATTAACATGACAAGAAGCCAGAGTGGTCAAATATGTTAAGAACTGAGAAGTGACTACATAGTGGGAAATGACAAGGAAACTTCACTACTTAAAGATAGTATTTCTCTGAGAGTGAAACTAGAAATAATCACAATATAATAGATTCATTTCAACTTAGTAAACATGTATTATTTACATACTATAGGGATATGCAAGATGTTACCTCTGTTCACAGCCTCAGAATCCTTCTCATGATGGCACTTCAGGTTGCCAGTGACAACAAGAGTTGGCACAAAGGGATGCTACAAAGCTCCCACCCTGAGCTTTCCATTTGTTAACACATTAATTCATAATCTGTAAATATGCACCAAGGAGAAGATTTGGGAGGTACTCAAATCAAGATAGTTGAGATGTGGCTTCAGAGATTCAAGATTAGGACGTGGTTGACACTCAAAAAACTGCAACCTAGTAGATTGCTTGTGTATTCTGTCTTAAGAAAAAATTGTAATATCTAATGAAGGAAGTTTCTATTTTTAAGTTACTGCTGGGGAGATGGAAACCAGCACTTAGAGTGAAAACTAAGAATTTGTCAGAGTCCTGGTCCCTGTTTAGGGGAGAGGGAGCCAGAGCAGACAGTGTGAATATATGATCATACATTAAGATAATGATATCTGGATTTATATTGGGCCAAGTCTGACCCTCATGTACGTTCTAAGTAAGTAATTTCAGAGTTTGTAGCGGATAGTTCTACATAAAAAACTAAGTTTGTGTGTTTGAGGTACATTACTGCCTGCCACTTTCTAATCCTTAGATATATGTCCTTTCTTTCCACTTAAATTAATCCTCCCATTTCACTCAGATCACAAGAAATAGTTAATCAATAAAATAAAACCTGAAACATACCATGAGTTGAGAGGTTGAGTGGGGCCCATTTCAACCACAATTACCTTCTTCTTCCTTTGACGTACTGTTCAGCTGCACCCATTAGCTGAAACCACTCTTGGAGACAATAGTTTGGAAGGAGGAGGCTAGGTATGTATGCAGCAGAACTGGCCCTATATGCAAATATTCCTAAAAAATTAGGAAGGACTCAATGACCACAGAGCAACGCCATAGGGCTGACTTGACTCCCATTAAGGACAAGTTCACATGTATAGTTATTCCCAGCTGTCAGGTTGGGTCTGCATGTACCATGTGTTGCCCCCTAGGATGGATTTGATCAGCAGATTTAAGTTAAAAACAAAAACAAAAAAAGCTCAAATTTTGACTGCATTTATTGCTTATTTGTATTGAAAAATCTCAGGTCCTCTGGTAGGGGAATTAATATCTACTGAGATTGTGCCTCCCTCAATTCAATATTTATTGACTCCTACTATATGCCAGGCACTGTCTTATAAGCAAGAATACATTGAAATCTCTATTTAATAATCCCTGTTAAGTTGGATTCAATTATTTAGAAATTATGCTGCTTGGAAATTTATTATGATATGATTTAGCCCCCAAGATAGGATATAAAATGATATATTATATATGATGTGAGCTCAGCCCCGTGAATTTATATACATTCATAAGCAAAAGAAAAGCCCATTTTCTGGTATAAGCTTAAATTTGCCTCTTTCTTTATGCCTGCTTATGGAAATTAAATATCTCCCATTGCAGTCATTCCTGAACTAGGTTCCAAATGGAGAATATGAGGGATTGGAGAATTTAGTAGATCATCCTTTTTGCTTCAAAGTTATTTTTTTCAAAGGCAAGTCTAAGCTTAGTACAAAACTAACACCCACACACAGAAATTGTCAAGGAGCATCAATATGCAGGGTATGTTTATGTCTTTCCCCTAATATTTTAAGGTCTGATACATCTGCATGAAATTCACAGGAGATAAAGGGAGGGAGATGCCTTTGTGGGTGAGCTAACTGGTCTACCTTTCTATAAAAACTCCATCACAGGCGGTTAGAGACTGCCCAAGCACCAAGTTCTAGAGATTTCTTTATTCACCTTGAATACCTTATATTTGTCCAAAAAGAGCTCAGGCTCTCTACTTTGCCATTTGCCTGATCTTTTCTTTAGAACCTGCCTCAGGAAGGGCAGCCTAAACATTTGAAAAATAGTAATAAATCCAAGTCATTTCTATTTCTTAACCCACTCTGTCTCTTCATCCCACCATGTTATTTCTTCAAAGGATCCCCAAGATGCCATCCCCAGAGGAACCATGCTGGCCATTTTCATCACCACTGTCGCCTACATAGGAGTTGCTATTTGTGTAGGTAAGCTGTCTATCTCTGATGTCAGAATGCCAGAATTACAAGGAATCTGGTCATTCTTCATGTCCAGTGGGCTCTCTGTGGATCACAAACAGAAAGTTTTTTTAAAAAACAATATTTTTAATTCCCTCCCTCGGTGCTTTAGGGGTTTGAATGCAATTAAGCTATGATACAGATGTTTCTGGGTCAGAGCCAGGGTAGAATTAATCAGATTGTCATTCTACCTGAACAGAAAGAGATTCCCATTTAGCTACTCCAGGTGATAATCCCACTGCCAAAGAAGCCACCACTCAGCATTTGCTTCCCTTGCCCTGGGAGACAGGTGAGAAACAGAGCAAAAGAAAAGAAGCCAGAAACAAAACAAGACAAAAACAAAAGCCTTAGGAATGTATGAAAGATATAGAATTGATAACTGTATCTCCTCCTTGCATTACTGTCCCTACTATGGAAATGCCACTGTCACCAGTTGGCAGGAAATCAGAACAAGACCCACCTGCCTGCAGTGTAGGGGGTCAGCCCTCACAATGCTCAGTATGCAGAAAATGTGTGGATGCACCTGCTGTTCTGAAGCTGACTTTCTTTCCACGGGCTGCCTGCAGCCACACCTCCTTCTGGCTGGGGGTCACTTCATGCTTATGCCATAGGAGGAGAGGAAGAAATGTGGAACACTGTTAGAAGAAAACTTTTCTGTGCACACTAGGGAATATAGCTCCCTACTGCGGAAGCTCGAATGACCATTTTACTGAAGGGCACATCCCACTTGTCCTCTGCCTGAAGGAAATCGGGGAAGCACATTGGTCTTCATTGGTTTCTGGAGAGAAAAGCAAAACCATTAACTTGAATTTTTGCTTCTCTCAATCTCTTATTTGAGGAAATTGGATAATGTTAGCTCTATTGCTGTGGCATTTCCAAGTTTAGTCACATGTAAAGAAATTTTATTCCAATACTTTAGAAAATTGACATATTTTTAAATGACATTGAAATCACCTTAAGTTAAATTTCCCAAATGGTTTCCTATCTCACACAAAGTAAAAATGAAGAAATGAGTAAAATTATAGACCTGAAATCAGAGTTTCTTCCAGTCTTTGCCTGGGGGAAAATCCCATTTCTATACTTTTCCCTGGAGAGGATGATAGTCGTGGGGTCCATAGCCTGTCATTAGTGCAAGTTATGGCTCATGGCTTGGCTTCATGAAAATTTAGGGAGCTGTATTATGCAAAAGCAAAGATCTACAATTCAGAAAAGTCAATTCAACATAGATGAACAATACAAAAAGGTAAAATCTGGAACAGATGGTTTTGCTTGGTAACCAACATTCATAATTTCAACTGTTTAAGCAGAGGCTGGGAGGCCACCCCTCAGGGCTCTGTAAACAGGATTCCTGTACTGATTATTTTAAATGACTCCTTCAGCTTGAAGATCCTTTTAAGTCTTTCAAAGATTCACAGGATGTGAATTCCATGGGTAAAATCGAGGGTTCCCATTAGTACTTGTCACTGGGCCTTCTCTTAAAATTATTAGCAAATAATGAAAATTCATACTGGCTGGAGTTTGAATAGCAAAATGAACAGTTTTATTGGTTGGGATTTAGTTTGTAAAATATTTACCCTTCACATAGTTCAGAAAAGTTTCTACAGATTTCACACATATATTCATATATTTCAATAATCCTATCAAATAGACAATGGCAGAGATTATAGTTATTCATAAGGAAAGTTGTTTAGTAAAATATGTACCAAAGATCTTTAAGAAGTTAATAACTCCATTTCTAGGAATCTATCCTAGAAAAATATTTTGAAATACACAAGAAAAAATGTAGGCACAAAGATATTCATCCTAGAATATTTATAATGGAATATAACAGAAATACCAAAATGGATAAAAATAATGGAAGAAAGTGATATTTGATAGAATATTATTTGACCATTAATATTACCAGGAAATCTCAATATTTTATCTCCATTTTCTTCATTATTTAAACGATTAACATTCTCTATAAAGTAGAATTGCAACTGTTTAAGAAATTGTGCAAGGACTATCATCAGTTGAAAACAAGGGCTCCGTTCTCTTAATTACCAGAATTCAATAATGCTATCCCTTAGGTATCTCACAGATGAGGAAATAAATCCTTCTACCTGAAAAAACACCTACTCAGTAGCATCAAGCCAGAAATATGAATTGAATATCATGAGCAAAGCACTGCCATGTGCATTTCAGAAAGTAAGAGAGATCCAATCCCCAAGTGTCCTACAAAGGTAGGTGAGAGCTTGGACCAAAACCACCCAGAGCAGTAGCAGTGGCAGACTGTCAGCGACAGGGGGCGCTCTCAAGCCCCTGAGGATGGGAACCTCCTCCTACTATGTCCCCAGGATGACAAGAGAGGATGGATGGCAGTGGACCTGCTCAGACTCACAGTAAACTGTGTTTTCAGTAGAAAACCCCATGGGAGCAGCACCCTTATAAAGAATTAATGAGCCATGATTGTTTCCCCAGGGGCCTGTGTGGTCCGAGATGCTACCGGAAGCATGAATGACACCATCGTTTCTGGGATGAACTGCAATGGTTCAGCAGCCTGTGGGTTGGGCTACGACTTCTCAAGATGTCGACATGAACCTTGTCAATATGGGCTGATGAACAATTTCCAGGTTTGAGCAGAAAAGAAAAAAGTTCATTGCTATTGTTTCCATTTGTAGAATGTCATGTGAGGCATAATGAAAGTTCTGACTTTGTAACTGATTGATTATTGATCCATTTGAATTCAGCAAGGAAAATTTTATGCATGAGGGAAGGGAGCACTATAGGCATTACATGGCACCAAATCCTGTGGTTACATTTATTGTGGGGTGGGGGGAGAGAACAGGCACTCCTATGAATTGCATCACCAGGGAAAGAATACCACCTGACATGCATCTTCGAATCAACTGTGCAAGATTTCATGGTGGGGAGAAGAGAGACTTAGGTAGTACTTGGAATGAACTTCATGCATGGACTTCAGTTTTGGGAAAGCCTCTGATGCAGTCCTCGGGTGCCTGGAAAACAAGGCCAGGAGGGAAATTGTGAGTGGCAGAAGGGGAGGTAAACAAGGGGGGAATTAGGGAAGTTGGGAAAACTGTGGAACTGGAAACATCAATTTGTCTGAATGATTGGTGAGTGGAGGGAGAGGCAAATTTGTCACGAAGGCTTCATTCATCTAGTTTAACAACCAACAAAAAGAAATTAGCTCAGCTGAAGTCATTATTCCAAAATATGACTTAAGCTGATAGAATCTCATCATGTCTCAGATCTAAAATTATATTTAATGAGCACAGAGAAAGCAAAGGTTTGAAAAGCCTCTATGTGCAAGAAGGACAAGAAAGCCTGAAGCTTTTCAAAAGACCTGTAAACAGCTGAGCCCTCCCCAAACCCTATTAAAATACCACTTTCTGCTGGATAGAATTTCCCCATCGCCAAAGAAACATATGCCCACAAATCACGAGGGAAATGTCATCAAATTCTTTGAAACCATTGCCTTCTTTATTCTTTCCAGTATCTCCTGGATGTATTGTGGTGAGCCCTTCCTATTTTTATAAACAATGATAACAAAATGGCCATTTCCATTTTGAAACAACAAATGTTAAGAACTTGAGAATGAAGCAAGGGGGAAAGAAAAATCTGGTTAGAAGCAATTAGCTTATAAAGGAGATTCCAAATCACGGAAAGCAGAAGGGGAAGCATTTGCATAAGATTTTGGCTTTGTTTGTGTTTGTTTTTTAATTGTCCATTGGATGAGTCTCCTGACTTGAACATCTTTTCTCAAGGTCATGAGCATGGTGTCAGGGTTCGGCCCCCTCATCACTGCTGGCATCTTTTCTGCAACGCTCTCTTCAGCCCTGGCCTCGCTCGTCAGCGCACCCAAAGTGTTCCAGGTAATTCAGGCCAAGAGCATGTGCTTCTCCCTACGTCTGTTTCCACTGAACATGGATCAAGCTGAAATACTCATTCTCACCAGCAATCATTTTCCATCATTTTCTGAAACAGTTTAACGTTTGCATCTGGCTCAAATGCTGTCTGCCACATAGTCAAGATCGATTCAAATAATATAAAGAATGATAAACTGCAGTGTTAACTTGTGCCTATATTGTGTATCACTTCATCTTTTTCCAAATCTTCTTGTTTGAATCACCTAGGGAAAATGACTGTGCATAGATATAAATGACAAATTTCTCCTCTTCTTTTCCATTAGGCTCTGTGCAAGGACAACATCTACAAAGCCCTGCAGTTCTTTGCAAAGGGATATGGGAAAAACAATGAACCCCTGAGAGGATACATTCTCACTTTTGTTATAGCCATGGCGTTCATTCTTATTGGTTCGTATTTTTCTTGTGCTTACTGGAAGCCAAAGAATTCTTCTGATTACTGATAGGGTTTTCCTTTTAGCTTGAGGAATTTCCTGTTTTGAGTTTAATATCCCAATTGGTAATATTGGAGTCTAAGAAGGAAATGAGGAGTTCATGTGTGTAGAGGTTTTGAGGGCTTGAGGTAGACTTCAGACTTCAATCTCTTCTTTGAATTCAAATTTTGGAAATCCATCCAACCAAATGCAACTGAATCCTTCCTCCAAGCTGCCCTATATCATCTAATTCGAGAGCCTTCCCCAGCTGCCACCTGTCTCTACAGTCTACTGGCCTGTAGCCAGCAGGAGAATCCAAGGGTCATTTACAAAATGTGGTCCATTGACCGCCTATATCAGAATCAGAAGCACTTGGGGTTTGTTAATGTGCCAATTTTTCAGACCCAACCCTGGAGTTAGAATCAGAGTCTTTGGTGATAAGGAACCTGCATGTGTACCCGCTCCTCCAGAGATTCATAGGTCACTGAGGTTTGAGAACCACTTGCCAAGACTATCATCTCGGCTCCCTCTCCCTAAGCAACATAGAAACTGCTGCATAATCTTGGAGAGGCACATTCATCAACTTTAGCCTGCACATTCCTCATTCCTCCCCAAGGTGCCACCTTTGCTGGTGAGCATATGAGAGGAGAAGAATCAAAAAGTGAGGCCACGCTAATTCTGCCTAGAAGGGCAAAGCCTTCCTCAGCACAGTGGCACCAAACAATAAAGGCTCATCGTCATCACGTAAGCTCAGGAAGTGACTGTAATTCCTGAATCGTCATAAGATTTCTACAGGGTTGAAGAGGGGGAAAATATAGCTATGTTTGTTAGATTTTAAAAAAAAATTAAACAAAAAGTGATAATGTACAGAAATGTTTCCATTACAAAACCTAAACTGTAAGACCTCAAATCATTGCCCTGTAATGCATGTATGTGATCGAATAGCCAAAGTGTTAAAAGAAATTGTACAAATTAAATATTATCCTTAAAAATCACTCAGAACAATGATTAGCTTCATGGCACAAGCTTCAAGGCAGCTATTTTTGCCTACTTCCTGGCTGGCATCCATGGTCGAGAATCACACCCAGCTGCCACCTGCATTTGCATCACAGAGGTTGATAAATGAGAATGTCTCTAAATTATTTCTTATATCATACAGTAAACCATTCAACTACGATTAAATTATACCAGATATTTAGCTACTGGGGTAATCATTTTTTTTGGCGAACCTTGAGAGGTAGAACTCTCTAGAAATGGTAAGAAAAGAAAAGGGCCTAGGACTAGCAAGGGTTTTGAGAGCCAGGGAGAGCAAGATGGGTATAGAGATTTCCAGTTAGGCATTTCTGGTACCCTGGTATTTAACTAACCTGTCACTCTGTAGAGCTTTTTGCTTATATCCATAGCAGAGAAATAGTGCAGGATTTGGTACCTCTAGAAGGGTGACTGGGAAATTTATCATCTGCCCAGTACCCAAAACCTCCACCCGTGCCCATTTGAATGTTTGCTAGGCAGAGGCCTTATATATTGTCTTTTTCTCATTGGGAGGTTTTCTTGCTTCTTGCTTTATGGAAACCCTGAGAAAATATTTTTAAATAAATACAATCCAAAAGAAAAATCACTAACTTCTTAAACTTTGACAGATGCTAGCTAGCTATGTTTTCAATTGCCAAATAAAGTCGAGCTTCCAGGCTCTGACAGCTGTTCAGCCCCTGGTCTCATCACTCACGCGGACATGCTAACTTCTGCTTCATTCACAGCGGAACTGAATACCATCGCCCCCATCATCTCCAACTTCTTCCTGGCCTCATACGCACTTATTAATTTCTCCTGTTTCCATGCCTCTTATGCCAAATCTCCGGGTAAGTTGACTCTTCAAAAGTAAAAGAAGCCTAAGCAGACAGTTTGTCTCAATAAAATGAAATAAGTCAGTGAAAAGTGCTCAATCGGTGTTCATATGTTTCCCTATATCCTAGTGGGCAACGTAATCCACTTTATTTTGGTGAGTTGAGGTGGGGGGACTTCTGAAATAGAAAAAGAGTCATTTGAGCAATGGCCTTTTTGACCAACCGTAAAGTCAATTTTCTCCTGCGGCAATAAATTATTCATTGCAAGAGAAACCACATTTATTTCAGCAGTAGAAAAACACCACTATTTATTTCCAGGGTGAAAGTGACCACAGAAGTGGAATAAATGTATATATTTGAAACTTCCTTACTATCAATTTGTTTCCTGCCCATGGTGCAGAAGAGAGGGATGAGTAGTTCCCATAATTACCTGCTGAGTACAGTCGATGCAGATTCGTGTTGAAGCCAGTGACATCCCTGCCCTCCGCAGACTGTGGTTGAAAGAGGTGCAAAATTTCACACCAAAGAAACTTTCCTATCTTGTCACCTCTCACTTCTTCCTTTCCTTCGTTGGCTATTAGAATTCCTTCTGCCTTTCCACCAGAATAGATACTCATCACTATTGACCTTCAGAAAGTTCTTCACCATGAAGACCTTTATCAGGGATATAAGCTCATTTCCCTTCCATTAGGGCCTGTTGTGGTCTCAAGCCTCCTTCAGAAAACCTGCTGCCGATAAGACAAAATACAGATGGAAGGACAGCTTTCATCCACCCAAGGCCACTAAGCTCCAGAAGAAAACTGAGGAATTTTGATTTCTGTTGTGTCATCTTCCTTAAAGCAGTGAACAGAAAGTTCTAGTCAGTGAATACAAGTCATAGAAATGTGTGCCTCTGTGCCATGTTATGTTTGTCTTTGAAAAACAAGGTGAAATAATAGAGGCGGTAAGGGAAAGAGTAGAAATGATGAAGGGAAAAAGAAGAGAGAAAAAGAGAGAAGAAAAAGAGAAGACCACGTAGAGACACATAGATATACAAAACCACAAAACAACACACACAGTGCCCCTGTGACACACGCACAGCCAGACTGGAAAAATGACATTTCCAGAGATGTTATCAAAGTGCTATTTCCATCTTGTGGCCATTTCAGGAATTGCTCCTGAAGATTTTGAAAGCTCTGTTGTGTTTTGGCAACTTCAAATGTAAAATGTACTTCACCCATAGGCCAAATGCCCTTCAGAGTCTCCCCAGCCTGACCGTGCTGTCTCCCAGTTTCTGTATTGCAGAGAAATAATAGAACACAGGAAACTCCCTGTGTTTATCCATGAGAAATATTTTCACTGTAAAATGCAAAACTTATTAATGCATCAAGTTTGAGAAGCCATTGCAGAAAAATTTCACACACACACCCTTTCCATATATGATTATTACTATTTTTTAGATGATTATTTCTGAAAGGGCAGGTACTATCCTCTTAAGGTAAAGACAGAGCTAGTAGGGAGTTAGTGGCTTGACTTTCGATGATGCTCTGCCTTCTTCATGGGAAAAATAGGCCCATTGTCTTAACTTTCTCCTTCTTGGGCCACCAAGGAGTTTCTTCCCCTCCTTTCTCCTAGACCCCACTCTTCTCATCTCTCCTTGCCTCCTTTCAGCTCCTGATAGTATAGATATCAAAAGCTTAAGGTCTTGTAGTTGAGGGGAGACAATTGTGGCCCACAGGAAATATGAAAAGGCCCTAAGTGCCACATTTTCTGTATTTCACAGCATTCTTATTTGGTATACCTTCCTAAGCCAGGGACCCAAGATCACAGAGAACTAATAACAGAATTGGGAAGTTGACCTAAAAGTTCTGATTTTTATACTAAGAAAAACTGTTGCCTGCATTCTAATCATGTGTAGTGCTATAGTGTGAAAGTTTTTGTCATGCACCGAGATTTTTGTTTTCAGGATGGAGACCTGCATATGGAATTTACAACATGTGGGTATCTCTTTTTGGAGCCATTTTGTGCTGTGCAGTGATGTTTGTCATCAACTGGTGGGCAGCTGTCATCACCTACGTCATTGAGTTCTTCCTCTATATCTATGTGACTTATAAGAAGCCAGGTAAGATAAGGACTGTATAGGAAGGGGTTTTGAAAGCACTTCCTACCTATTCAATCATTCAACAAATGTGTATTGAGCAGCCCCTATGTGCTTAAGTATGCGATGTGAGTGGTGGAGATTAATAATATAATATAATCATATACCATGCGCCCATTGAATCTTCACAATAATGTTACATATTAGGTATTATTAGACCCATTTTACAGATGAAGAAACTAGAATTCAAAGAGTTGATCACTTGCCACGGTAACAGACATGATGGAGCTGACATTTTAAGTAGAGTGTATGATACCAAATTCCCCCACGCTTTCCATTATATCACCTTCTAAAAATCCTGATAAATAAGATATAGTCTCTGTCCTCAAGGAGTTCACTGACCCCCACACAAGCAACTAGCCATAATGCAATATAGTAAGTAACATGCGGTGGCATAAGAGAGGTACTGAGAAGAGGAGAGGGAGTGATTAGCTCTCATTAGAGTTGTCCAAGAAGACTCTTCGGGTTCATGGCCTGTATTCTCAGGGCCAAAACTCAGTAGATACGTAATAAATATTTGTTGAATGAACAAATAAACTGCCTTGGAAAAAAAAGAGACAAGAAACTAAGGATTGGTTAGTCAGATAAAACAAGGAAATGTTATTCTGGGCAGAAGGAAAAGCATAAGTGAAATTAGGAGGCATGCAAGAACATGGCATAAGTTGGAAGCTCCAGTGCCTATAATACGGATGGAGTTCTTGGGTGTTAAGGAGAAGAGGCATGAGGTGAGCCTAGAAGAGTAGTTGGGGTCAGATAAATAAGAAACATAAATGTCATGCTAAGGAATATGTGAACAAAAGGCTGCCAGAGATCACTCAATTGTATCTGAACTTTGGAAGTTAGCTTTAGAATCGATGAGAAGGATGGACTGAGGCTGGGAGAGACTAGAGACTACAGAGCATGGTAGAGAGAGGTCCAGTCTCAGGAGCCGGGTAGCCCTGAAGTACCCTCCTATGTCCCTTACCTGTATTGCACAAGGAAAGTAGAGAAGGTAGTTAACTACCTTTGAGGGATTTTTTGCTGTTTGTCTTTATGACTTACTGCATTGGGCATAAATTACATATGGTGAAATTCATCCCCTTAGATGTATAGTCTATAGGTTTTGACAGACTTCAACATTTTTGTAACCACCATCACAATCAAGACAGAGGACTATTCCATCATTGCTAAAAGTTCCCTTAACACTCCTACATGGTTGATCTCCTTCCCTCAACTTACTTCCTAGTAACCACTGTTCTGATTTCTGTCACTATAGCTTCAACTTTTCAGAATATTTTATAGAATCCTGTAGCATATAGCCTTTGTGTATGCTTCCTCTCATTTAACATGGTATTTTTAGATTCATCCATGATGTTGCATGTGTAAGTGGTTTATGTTGAGTAATATTTCATTATATGAATATATCTCAAATTTTTTTAAAAAATTTATTCACCAGTTGATGGACATCTGGATTGTTTCCAGCGTGGGATGATTTTATATAAAGCTATTATAAACATGTACACACAGAACTCTATGTGAACCTTTGTTTTCATTTCTCTAGGAGTAGGATATCTAAGAGTGGGATTTCTGATTATATAATAAGTGTGTGTGTGTGTGTGTGTGTGTATACATACATACGTATATATAAATATCTTCACGAGAAACGACCAAACTGTTTTCCACAGAAGCAGTATCATCTTCTATTCCTACCAGCAATAAATGGAAGTCCTCATTGTCTACATCCTTGTTAGCACTTAGTATTGTCAGTTGATTTAAAAAAAAAAAACATTCTAATAGATGTAGAGTACTATCACTTTGCTTTGCTTTGTATTTTCCTAATGACTAATGTTGTTGAACATCTTATTTACCATCTTCTTATTTATCATCTTCAGTCAAATTTCTGTTTAAATCTTGTGCCTATATTTTTTAGTTGTTTTCCTATTATTCAGTTGTGAGAGTTCTTTATGTATTCTAGATGCAAATCTTTAGTTGTACATGTTTTGGAAAGATTTTCTGTAGGACTATGACTTGCCTTTTCAATTTTCCTTACAGTTTATTTTGAAGAGCAGACATACTTAATTCTTATAACGTCTAATACATCATTTTTTGCTTTTATGTTTTTTTTTACTTCTCATCTATCTTTCCCTAATCCAAGGTCACAAACTTCTTCTAAAAGTTTAAAGCTCTAGTTTTTAAATCTATGTCCATTTTCCAATTTGAGTTAATTTTTACATATGGCATGAAGAATGGTTCAAAGTTCATTTTTTACTTTCAAATATCTAATTAACTAGTAAGATTTCTATTAAAATAAAATAACCTAAAGTATGCTAAATACCTGTTGCATAGTCAACCTTAGGCAATATCAGTCCTTTTTATGTCCTCACCATTTCCCTGATTCTTCCAAGCAAAATTAGGGAGATGACTCTATCTGCCATCTGGAGTAAATCTGTACATTCCCATCAGGCATTTCCTGGTGGGTAGTTCCATCTAATATTCAATTTATTTCTTTTTTCAAAAAAGTGTAGGAAAAAAAGGGGAGTTAGGAGATGGTAGTACTTACCTCCCTCATTACAAATCAGATTAAAATGCTTGCTGAATCCTCTTCATGGATACCCAAGAAAGTAAGAATTTCTGAGCTATTCAGTTTTACTATTCAAAATATAAAGATTGCTGCACACTATCTGTGTCTACAGAAATGCCTCTTTTCAATTGAAGAATTTGTGAAGAACTTTTTAATTTATTTAGGGGCTAACCATTTTTCCAAGTCTATCCACTTGCAGTGTGGTTATCACATAGCCCCTCCCACCAAGCAAAACTTCTAGGTCTTTGGCTAAGTCTGATCCTTAACTGGAAAGAGAGCTCTCACTTCTAAGAATTCATAAAGTGTTCATAGAAGAACACAATGCTCTTTTGAGGAAATAGTACACTGTTTTCTCTAACTTGGGCACTCTTCACTGATGACACGGCCAAGGAAAATCATAGAAGGCAATGACTTATAAAAATTGTTCATATACAGAGGGAAGGGCAATGCTTTTAATGCCAAATTCTTCTGTTGTCCACAGATGTGAACTGGGGCTCCTCCACGCAGGCTCTTTCCTACATCAGTGCATTAGACAATGCCCTGGAATTAACTACCGTGGAAGACCATGTGAAAAATTTCAGGTAAAATTTACTTCCCAGGCATTCTAGTGTTGCTCCATATTAGAAGTGGCTTTCCTTTATGGGAGACCAATGCACTAGAGTAGTGATACACTTTATGGGTATATTCTAAGAATAAGGAGTCATATAAAAATGCCTCATTTTCACAACATCTCTGTGAATGAGTGCTTCTTCTCTTCTGCTCTGAGATTTGCCCACTTCCAGCTATAAACCATCATAATGTCAGATGTCACCTTCCATGCACAGAGATAGAGAGGCTATCTAAGGGTGTGATTTCAGAGAGATGTCCCCAAATACCTTAATCATTGGTGCTATCTCCATTCTGCTTAAGGCTCTGTGGCTTACTGAATTCTCTTAGGAAAAGTAATATTTTAAACTCTTCATTAGTTATATTTTATTTTGAATGGAACCAAAAAAAAAAAAAAACAGGCTTTGCAAGGAAGATGAAGGAAAGCAGCATAAAGATACCAGCTGGACAGTGATAGTTTGAATTGGGGATTTAGGATATGGTAGTGCCTGGAGAATAAAAGACAGGGGGAACCCAAGACCACCTTTTCTTACTTCACATTTTTGCCATCACTAAGGAAATAAGAATACAAAGATGGCAAGATGAACAAGCAGGATGGTTCAAGAATTCCGATGAGAAACCCAAGAAATATTTAGGGGAGAAGTTGTCCCATTTTGCCAAACTCTCCCCATTCCTGCCATTTCCATTGGGGATGTTCTTGGTCCTAGGCCAGTTCTCACATCCTCTTTTCTCATTTCCAGGCCCCAATGCATTGTCTTAACAGGGGGACCTATGACAAGACCTGCTCTCTTGGACATTACGCATGCCTTTACCAAGAACAGTGGCCTTTGCATCTGCTGTGAAGTTTTTGTGGTAAGAGCCACTTCATCCCGGGAAGGTTCTTCCCTCTCTACTCACCTTGTGTTATTTTATGTGAGCCAAGTGGGTACAGGCAGTGATAGGAAAGTGGCAAGCCAGTTTAGACAAGAGTCCTTTTCCTTGATTCATAGAGGAAGAACTAGCAAGGGCCGTGATCCTGAATTTAAATGAGTGGATAAAAAGTGTTTCAGATTTCATAGGAGACCAACTAAAAGTGATAAATATTTCCAAAATGATGGCCTTTGAGACAAGAAAAAGAGAACTGGCTCAGAAATAAAATGAAAGCATTTGGGGTGGTAACTGTCCACAGAAATATAAAAGGATGGAATGAGCCAGAGAGTGCTATTATATAGATTAACTGATGAGGAGGAAACCAGACATAATGTCCTGAAATGACAGCACATAGAATTTAGATTAAATATTTGGATAAAATTGATGACGCTATAGATATCTAGGGAATTAAGCCAAGTTTCCCCTGCCTTAGATAAACATTCAGAGTTAAATGAGTTCCTTTCTGTTCAGGAAGTTTGTGGTAGACTAATGGGAACTTATTGGTGGTGTTCCCAGGAGGTATTCAAAGTAGATGCTAAAAATTTAACCAAATCATTGACCAATCACCAATCTCTAAAGTGAAAAGAAAATATTAAAATTATAACAAAATAGTAGGTCCTCCAAACCAGTCTATGTCTACTTGTGTTCCCATAATAATCACAGTTTCTCTGTCTCTCTCTTTCTTGCTCACAGGCACACACACTGCTCAAAATCCTTAGCTACTTCAATGTATTTTTTTTTTTTAGTACATACCTCTTCCTCCAAGCATTTTCCTACAATTTTTCTTACTTGATCTATATTAGAGCCTAGTGAGGCAGAAAGGAAAAAGAATCTCTGTTTTCATTTTACTGGTTGGAAAAGTGAGACTTAAGAAAATCAAATTATTGGGATGCCTGAGTGGCTCAGTGGTTGAGCATCTGCCTTCAGTTCACGGTGTGATCCCAGGGTCCTGGGATCGAGTCCCGCATTGGGCTCCCCACATGGAGCCTGCTTCTCCCTCTGCCTATACCTCTGCCTCTCTCTCTGTGTTTCTCATGAATAAATACATAAAATCTTTAAAAAAAGAAAAAGAAAATTAAATTATTGCACAGGGTCATGTGATAAGCAAGTGGCAGAACTAGGATGTCAGTCCAGGCCACCCAACTGTGCTCTGTGTTTTTCTTCATGAGGAGAAAATCTTAGCAGACTTGTGTCCCTGGGAATGCTGAAAGAATCAAGTGCCACTACCCAAAATTCCAATAGGGAGCAAGGTTGACAGGGACCTGTGTAATTCTGGGGCCAGTTGGCTGTGCCATGATGCGCGGACAAATTTGCCACACATCATCATGACCAGTTTTTAAACATCTTTTTATACTTGGCAATACTCTAAATGCTATATGAAGCAATTGGTCGTATTCTTCTTCCTCTCAGTGCTTATATGCTAGGAACTGAGATAATATAACTCAACGCAATTATCTGGAAGGGAGTGAAAGGAACTCTACTGACTACATGAGATTGACAGGTTAAGTAATGACCAGCTGTGACTCCAGAGGATTTTTAAAAATCTTATCAAGCACTCTTCCCTCATATTATCAACTTTGGTGCCCTGGATTACTGAATTTCATTTTGGCCAATATAATACAGGAGCTGGTTTTGATGGAATAAGCAGTTTGGGGTGTTTTTCTTCTCCAGCAATTTAGAGAAAACTTAGTTTAGCAGGCAATAAAATATCTTTAGGACAGGAGAAATGAACCAGGAGTATAAAGTCATATATATATTGGCAAGGGAGAAAAGGTCTTCTCATAGAGACAGGAGATATTGCTTTTAATTAACCCTTTGCTGCTTTCACTCTAATAAAAGAGTGCAATTGTGGACCTTCATGTGAAGTAGGCACCAGTGTCTGTGCCTCCGATGGCCCTGTTGTGTGACATGTATATTGGACCATACCATATATTGCTGTGTTCGTCTCTCTGAGTAGGGCCCATGGGTCATGCTCCCAGGTTCTGGGGTTCTCTTGGGGAGAGAAAATAGTTACTGCATTAGTTAATGACTTTCCAGGTGGTTACTTTCTGTGAGTCCCCGGGGCTGCAGATGCCATCAGCATTTTTCAACCAGCGGCTCAGTCGTCAATCATCTTTGCTAAGAAACAGATGGAAGGGGGCATGGGGAAGACAGCAGCATTTCATTAGAAAACTTTTTCCAAAAACACAGTTGTTGGTAGTTTGGCCAATCTTATTGGAAGGTTAACTGGGAGTAATGATCTTGAGAGGTGACGATGCAGTTCTTAACCCTGGGAAGCTGGTACTCACAGGCTTTTCAGACATCCGGTCAGGTTCTGAATCACTGTTTTGCCACCTGTTAGCTGTGAGTTCTTTAGGTACAGAATTTAGTCTTTCTGGGCCTCAATTTTCTCTCTTTCTTTATAAAATGGGAATCATCACAATAGAGCACCTACGTCGCACAGCTGTTGTGAGAATTCTATCAGGTAAGTTTTCCAGTGCTTGGCACAACACCTGTCAGATAGTAAATGCTCAACTAACTGTACTTGTTACTCTTGGTACTTGTATTTTCATCACCATTATTATTTTAGGTATCCATAGTTGCCATTTTCACTCCAAAAATATATCCCTTTCAACAAAAACTGGAAACGTCCTTTCTTAGGGAAACCAGATCCCGATGCTGGATTTTGGACTTTTTTAGTTGTCCAATATGATTATGATAGAACAGTGAGCTATGTATTCCCACTGACTAATCATAGGACTGCGGGCTCTGTGCTCTGTTCCTCTGGTGGTCTTTGGTTATTTAGGTGCTAACTTGAACTGCGGTTATACTACAAGGAAGGAACAAAACTCAGAGCTCATTGGTATTTCATTTCTGGTGGGTAGATGGAAAGCATGTGGCTACAGCTGCCATTTTCTAAAGCAGAGACTTCTTTTTTTAAAACAGAGACATTTTTAAAGGACTAGACATCATAGCTCTCAGAGCTCCTGAAATTGAAATGCAAAGAGTAATTCTTTTTGCTGAACCCCAAGCTCTCACTGTGTCCTTCAAACTCTCCAACTAACTCTTACACCCACCCATCAGAGCCTCTTCCTCTTTGCTTCTTTCCTAACCAGCCTGAACATTTTAGAAATATCCTTCATCATTCAAATGTGGGCATCTTTCTTTTTTTTTTATTTTAAGGAATCCAGCTTACAGTATTATCTATTCTTCTCTTTTGGATTACTTGTGATAAATCATTGACGTACTTATATCCCAAGAGGCCATGTACAGAACAAAAGTGATTTCTTCTTCTTCTCTGCCTCATTTCTATCATCACAGAAAGATCAAAGGGAGTGGGACTCTACCTTCTAGTATCTTCTCAAATTGTCAAGCATAGCCCAGTTCAGTGGGTTCAGCAACGGAAGTATTAAGTCAGGGTTTGCAAGCTCCACCCTGTGTACCATGACATAAAAACAGACTGGCTTTCTTTGTCAGTTTCCTCACTTATTTGTAGGAGTTAGGAAGATGATAAAACCAATCATTGCAATAACTTAGTCTGGGCTTATTTCTCTGGGCACACTATGTTTGGTTCTAAAAACTGTATGATGCCAGCTCACGCTTCTCTTCCCCATGCAAGAAGACGTCACGCATGCGTCAACAGTCAGTCGCTCATACACTTCTGAGTTTTAGTTTAAAGGCAGGTATTTTTTATTAAAACAAAACAAAGACAAGTATACATTAAAGATGGGAACTTGATCCAATTCATCTGGGCTTTAGATTCAAATCAGAGAAAGCCTTTATTATCCTCCAAATGCAACACTTACCTCTTTTCTAAATTTCATTTGTCCTAAAATTGCAAAAGGCTCTCATGTATGCTGTGGTACATTTGATTAAGTCCATTTTGCTCTCACAGTGTCTAAAAAAGAAAAATTAAAAAATTTAGATTGCTTCTATTTTTTTTTTATTTTGAAACTGTAAGAAAACTATTAGGTTGAATCATGAAATTTCCATTTTTGTTAGTCAAAGCTGTGGAACACTGGCAATTTCATATGATTAAACTATATAGGATTAAATGACACCCATATTCAACTTATTTTAATTAATAACTGTTAACATATTTATCATAGATATTCCTTCTCACTTTTAAAATGGAACACATCATTGCTTAAGCTGAAGTCTCTCTTATAACCACTTTTTCATGACTCTCTCCCTCTCCAAAGGCAATATTATCTGAGTTTTATTGGTATTCTTCTACTCATTTCACCTAAGTGTGCCAAGATGTAGGTCTATTTTGATTAATGTTTCCTACTCTTTCACATCCTTTAAATCTTGAGTGTCTTGTTCTTTCCTCTCACAGTAGAGGAGATGACAGTTTCTGGCCAGTTTCCTCATGTAGATCCTCCCCTTTTTTTATAATAAATTTATTTTTTATTGGTGTTCAATTTGCCAACATACAGAATAACACCCAGTGCTCATCCCCTCAAGTGCCCCCCTCAGTGCCCGTCACCCATTCACCCCCACCCCCCGCCCTTTTAACAAAATTTCACCCTTACTGTTTGCCTTTCCCTTTTTTCTTGAAATTTATAAAATATCATCATAAACCCTAAGTCTCTATTTGAATTCAAAGATGCTCTACAGAAAATCCAGGGAATACAACCAATTCCTGTGCAGTTCAAGCACAGATGAACCAGGGGAAACTAAAATTCTCATTTTTTTCTTCTATCTTCAACCTCTTCTTAATCTCAACGTTCACAACCACCAAGTTGATGCATTTTTATAGCTACATCTATTCTTTTTAGCCGTCGAGTCTCTGTCATGATGTGTATGAGACAGTGACATGGCCCAGTGTGGGAAAAATGAAATGACCTATGAATGGGCACTAGGCACATGGTGAAATGAAATATAGCCCAAATCAGGAAGGAAAAATTCTCTTTCCCACCATTCCAACTGGAGCAACAATGAAAGCAAAGACAGAACAGAAACATTCTCAATGTCTTAAAAAATGAAAGCTGGAAAGAACATTGCTTTCGGCCCAAATTTCTGTTTGATCCTAATGATATTGGAAGTCCATTGCAAATTCTTCTCATAATATTCATTTCTTTGAAGTAGCATCACATCAACTACTTATCCAGACTAAATAATTAGAATTTCTTTACCCTTTTCTCAATCAATGTCAAAGTTATAATGTATACAAGATTTTTAGACCTTCTTTGTTCAAATTCTGAATTAATTTATGCATTGATATTTTGGATCCTAACTGAGCCAATCTCTATAATGTTTTAATTGAGTGGTAAAATCCATTTTTGTGACTATGATATATTTGAATGTTGAATAATTATATTCCAGTATGTCTTCTCTCTTTGTTAGTTTGTTTTTCTCTACTACATTTGTATTACAGCCTTGCCTCACATTAATAAGTGTGCAAGAAAGATATTATAATCACTTTTAGCAAAGAGAGTTTCTGCCTGAAATATTTTTATGACTTCTCAATATGGCAAATTCAGGCATTAGAGTAAATCTTTCTGTCACAATTAATGCTTAATCTGGATTTTTGTAGCAATAATAGACATACATTAGACTGTATTTATTTAAATAAATGCCACTTTCCCCAGGGGTTCACAGTCATTGTGGTACAACTCAATATACTGATGGCCCAATACCTTTTCTAGTTGTTGGTTATTCTTCTCTCTCATGTTACCATTGAACTTCCCTGAATAAAATATTTCTTCTTTCTTTGCAGTTGATGGAGTCTAGAATGCCCAAGGAGATCTAATGGTTCAAAATGCATTGACATTCTAGAACCCTGAGCAAAATTTGATCCATAATGACATATGTTTCTTTAGGTTAGGTGTTCTGGTTTAATAACTACCATCCCTTATAATTTTATCTACCCCATCTTCATTGAAGGCTCTTGTTTGAAATGTCTTTTGAAAAGTTGGTGAATTCTGGAAAGTATACTAGTAAAAACAAGTACACAAAGAATCTGATCCAATTCAAATAGAATATTAAAATAGAAGTGACCACAGAGGTCATCTAGTATTGTGGAATAGCAATATAGTATGTGTCACATATGTAATTTAAGATTTTCTAGTAGCTATAAAAAAAAAGTAAAAGGAGCCAAAGAAGTTAATTTTAGTAGATTATATTTCATGCTATGCATCTTAAATATTATTATTTTAATAAGCACAATATAAAAATACTAATTAGATATTTTATATTCTTTTTTTTCCATCCTAGGCTTCGAAATCCAGTATGTTTTTTACTTTTCCAGTACATCTCAATGTGGACCAGACACATTACAAATGTTCAACAGCAAATGGATAAGGGCTATCATACTGGACAGTGATGAACTAGACAGTTCTCTTATTTTTATAAATGTAGAACCCACACCAAGAAAGGATAAATGGCACACTGGGGTATTAGCCAGTCAGTGCCAGAGCCAGCTCTATACCCAATACTCTGGCTTCCAGTTCAGCACTCTGTCGTAGAGCAAACACAATGGTAGAAAAAGGTCTGGGGCTTTAACAAGATTGTAAGCACTCATTTTAAGATGATAAAAATCATCCAACTTTGGATGAGTACCTACTGTATTCCAGACATCGGACTAGGCACTTATCACTACTATTCAAAACAACATTTCAGGGTAGAGATTTTATCCCTGTTTTCAGAAAAATATATCAAAGCTCAGAAATAATCAGAAATTTCCAAAGTGGCCAAGCTTAGATTTAAAACCAGTTCTGCAGATCACAAAGCCTGGCATCTTTCTCATACATCTCAAGCTCATTTTCTCCAATCTAAGACCGTCTGAGACTTTGACTCTAAGCATAGTCTGAGGACCAACAGCATCCATGTCACCTGGGGGGTTGTTAGAAATGCAGAACTTAAGCCTCATCCCAGACCTACCTACAGACTGCATTTCATCAACATCCCAGGCGGTGGGCAGCCTGGGTGGCTCAGTGGTTTAGCACCACCTTCAGCCCAGGGTGTGATCCTGGAGACCCGGGATCAAGTCCCATGTCAGGGTCCCTGCATGGAGCCTGCTTCTCCCTCTGCCTGCGTCTCTGCCTCTCTCTTTCTCTATGTCTCTCATGAATAAATAAATAAATAAAATCTTTAAAAAAAAAAAAAAGATCCCAGGTAGCTCGTAAGAAATCTAAGACAATTCAACAACATACTTACTCTCTCCATGAGTTGAAAGAACTTCCTACTAAAATATTGGATTCATACCCTATCAGCCACATTATAGGTCACCAGAAACCCTTTTTGGGTTTGATTTGAAACTTGCAAAGAAAAGAGCTAGCTTGGACGCTTAGAGGAGAAGAAAAATAATCAAAATTTAAGTTAAAATGTGTTTCCAGAACTCCAATCTTAAAATTAAAAGCTACCACAATAACACCTGCCTCCTTCTCTCTTAAGCTCTCCTATTCTTCCTATGCATTAGGTATATGAACTTTTGTTCCTACCAAATTCATCAAGTGAGAGGGAAATCTTAATTTATTTGGATGGGAGTAAGTCAACATAATGGTGCAAGGGTGTTTTAACCACACACAAAAAGCAATGAAGGGCCTAATAGATGTGGTAGTTCATGGCAGGACTTGGCAACTCACCATGTTCTGGCTTCCAGGATCTCTGTCCATTTCTTCAAATTGGGCTCCAGCTGAGATTTCCTTAGTGTTCCTAAACATGCCTCTTGCTATTGAGTCAAAGGTTGATTGTGTATTTATCCTGAATTTCTTCAGTCGCATTTTCAGTATTTTTTTCCTGTGCTGTGATGCCCTCCACTCTTGCTTTCATTGGCACGAGGCAGTTAATTAAGCAAGTGTTAATGCATCTGGACATTCTGGGTGGCAGGTGAATGATGGGAGGAGCAAAGGCCCACTCCAAGGGGTTGGATCTGCAGGAACCATGTTTAGTGAGGTGTTTTCCCCTCTTTCCCATTTCGTAGCTCAGTGGGGCACTGCTGGCTATTTTTGTCCTTTAGAAAACAACAGCAGCGCGATGGGTGATAGCAGGGCTTCTAACCAATATTTCATTGTGTTGTACAGGGACCGCGCAAGCTGTGCGTTAAAGAGATGAACAGTGGCATGGCAAAAAAGCAGGCCTGGCTTATAAAGAACAAAATCAAGGCTTTTTATGCTGCAGTAGCGGCAGATTGTTTCAGAGATGGTGTCCGAAGTCTCCTTCAGGTAAGGCTGGCATTGAGTGAACGAGTACAGAGGCAAAAGACAATTAGCACTCCTCTGTTAATGAAGCTCCCAAAATGAATGGCTCCAGTTAGGCAGCATAGCACCAGAGATCAATGCAGATGGTTAAGGAATTCATTTTGAATTCCTGAGGAGAGGCAAAGCTAAAACAAAAGCAGAGAGGTTCTATTACAATGAACTATGGATGATACACTGAAAATGGAAAATGAGGTTGCCTTTGGCCACCAGCATACATTCTGTCCCCACACTTATTGAAATGCAAATTTGTTCTGATGGTTGACGACATTCAGGATCCTATTAAAACTTCAAACTATTTTTGCATCTCATACTGCATATAGCAATGCTCAAGTCAGGCATTCTGCTCCTTTTTTCTTTTGCAAATGGCGTGAGGGCAAGCTGCTAGATTCGACTAAATAAATGCGTGGTGATCTGGGCGTAAAATCTTCCTATTCCTCTAAATTATTTCCAGAATGTTGAATAAAATGTAATAATCTCTGTGGCTCAACACTCAAGCCTGCAGTTCTATCTTCTTCCCCCTTATTCCTTCCTTCCCCCCCCCCCATAATAAGTACATAGAATCTTTCCTGAGTTCCCATCATAACTTAGACTGTTGAAGTATCCTTAAAATAACCCAAGAGATCCTGAGAAACTGTAGGGGTTGGCTTTCTAATCATTCTGGCTTTATGGGGTTGGAAAGCCCTGATTCTACATCTACCAAATTTTGTATTCACTTTCAGAGTTACCGTTTCCAGGAGTGTCAAAATTCAGGACAGCGTCCAGGTCTCTCTGATGCAGCAGGAAAGAAAAAACATTGATTAAACTGCAATATTTTGGAGATTAAGAGTATTTGGTGCATTCCTGTCTCTAATATTCCTGAAGAACTCTTGCAAAGTAGCTGCACATGTAGAGAAACCATTTCTGAAAGACCTCTTACCCCCAGTGAGCATTTTTTCATCTGTTATTAATTTGTGAAGCCATGGAAATACATGTCATTTTAAGAAGCTGATTTTCTGTAGTGAGTTACTTTTCAGTAGCTCTTTGGTGAAATATGTTGAGAAGGTTACACAACCTAAGGTAAAATTATCCCAAAAGATTGGTAAACAAAAATCTCAGCGAGGAAGTTTCAATAAAGAATGAGCAGGGAGAGAAAAGACACAGGTCTTGAAAATAATTGTTATATTAATCTGGAAGAAGCCAAAAAAAATTGACAATGCAGAAAGCTTGTTCACTAGAATTTCCTCAAAGAAAATTGGAGTACAGAGGGACCAGGACAAAAGAGCAGGATTGGGTGGAATTAAAGGAAAGCACTGGTCTTTACACCATTTTGGATAAAGCCTTCTTTGCATCTAAGATCCTAAGGTACGAATGATCACATCCGCAAACTGTAGTCACAGAAAAGACAAGCTCCCTCCTGCCAAGCGTCAAATGACAGCCCTAAGGAGTTGTCCCGCTACCTGTACAGTTCTAGGAGAAACACAACAACCATGGAGACAAAGTTTATTTCAGGAACCCTTCCATCAATGCCTGTCTCCTCCTGCTCTCTAAGTATCCCCCTTAACATGTCCCATTCTGGTGACTGGTTTCCCTCTTCCTGTAACCCAAGAGTGTCCTTCCTTCACTCACACTGCTCTCCTTTCTGTGCTTGTCAACCTCTAACCAACTTGTAAGATCTGGAACAAATATCACCTCTCCCTTGAAGCCAGCGATGAATCCACAGCTGGAACTCAAGTCTTCTTCATTTTTTGCTTCCAGATGAGTTCCTACTGCATGTGCGCTTGAATTATAATTATCTGTGTATATCTTGCCTCCTTCACATTACTCTGAGCTCTATAGGGCCAAAGATTATGCCTCACTGCTCTTCCACCACACCTACCATAACACTCTGCAATTAATAGGTGCTCAATAATATTGCTGAATGAAGTTTAATTAACTGGAAGCCATATCCTGCCATCTAATGGGGGGAGTGAAACCTGAGGTGGAAGATGACTATTAACGATACTGTCATGTGAGAGGATTAGGTCCTGGAGACATAGCTCACTTACTCGTCAATAAATAATGTAACTAGAAGTTTCAGTGATCCTTGTATCTAAGAATTTTCCAAACAGGGATTTTATAGCTAATGACATTATGGATAAAACAGGTGGAAATGAGCTTTGAACCACTAAGTTACAACATGCATGCCAACGGTTAAGCCGACCCTCACTTGATTTTAAATTATTGAACCATTTTAATGAGTGTGTCAGAAGAAATGCAAATGACTGCTAATTTGGAAAAGCTACATTTCTGTCATCTAAAATCCATTTATGGCTGAGATGATTTAGAACTAATCTTTCTATTTTATGCTTGGGTACGGGCATGAAGGACATCCACTAAAATGTAATCTAATCTTCAGAATCTTCAGGACATTACTTCAGTGCTCTTGTGGGCATTATTTTTCATTTGCAGTGGTAGTTTCCTGGTATGGAAAGGATTGCCAATGTGTTTATCTTCTCTGTTTAGGCCTCGGGCTTAGGAAGAATGAAGCCAAACACTCTGGTGATTGGATATAAAAAAAAATGGAGGAAAGCTCCCTTGACAGAGATTGAGAACTATGTGGGAATCATACAGTAAGTAATGGCTTTCGAGACGGGTTCTGTTTACAAACACTACCCAGGGTGGTACATAACAGGTGCTGCTGTACCAGATTAAATTGCCTAAGAGGAGGACATTCCCCCAGTACCCTGAATTCTTTACCAAAGTGAAAAAATACTGCCACTAATAGAACTGGAGGGGGGATCATAGTGTCAGAGGTGGTAGGGTGGAAGAAACTTGACATCAAAGAAAAAGATAAATATTAAGGGTTACCATCTCAAAACCAATTCATAAGATTAAAAGCAAACGACAGCTAGGTGAGGAAGGAAATGTTCTTTCAAAACATCTGGAATCTTGGGTTGGCTGGTGTGCCCAGTTCACTCATTGTCTTCTCCCGAGCCTTGGGATCAAGAGTTTATTACCCCAGAGCCTCAGCAACCCCTTTGGCTGATATGAGGCTGTCATATATCAGTGCCTCTGTGTTGGTTTAAGACAAAAGGGGAGTTTTAAATGGATGTGACATCTAATATCTAAATATTGGGAAAATCTTAGAACAAGGGCAATGATGATAGTCCTTAAAAGACTAGCAGGTTCCAGGCTAGTGTCCTTAGCATGAATTATCCCATTGAATTCTTACAAGGAGCCTTTGTAATACTAATACTGTTCCCATTTTATAAGTAGATATGGATGTTAAAAATTAAATAACCTGCAGAAAATGACAGTGTTGTAATAGAGCTGGAATATCAACCCAGGACAATCAAATTCAAAGTTCAGACTCATGACCACAATGCTCTGCTGCCTCCCAAAGTACGTGTATACCCAAAGTATTACCTAGTTTAGTTCTTTCTTCTAAATTAAGGGAAAACAAATTCTTCACATATGGAAAGGCTCAGGGTGTCCTCAGTGACCGACCATTCTAGAAAATAGCCTTTCTTCCAGGCCTGAAAATATTTAATCAGATTTGTCTCATGAGGAGCAATGTTAGCTATGCTAACAGCCATCTTTTGTCAACAACTCTGAAAATGGAAGATTTTTCTGTCTGGAGTCTGGCTTTGCTCTGATTCAATACCACAGGGCAGAGAGTGTGCCCTGAGAAGTCTGGCTGTACTTTAAAAGTCTGTAATACACAGGAAACAAATCCTCACATCTTCAAAATAATTATATACACACACAGTGCTTCTTATACCAGGCTGTGTTGCTGGCCCCTGCTAGAACAAACATCATATTTATCATTATCTGGGGGAGGTTTGGGGAACATTACAAAAGCATTCGAGTATTAGTTTGTTGAAAAGAAGTATAAGACAATAATTTTCATTTTCTGAAATTTATATGCATTACTTATGAAACAGTAATTCACTTAATAATCCTCCTAACATGGAAAACCTGTGTATTATTATTTTTTTGAAAACCTGTGTATTAAATGCATTTGCCCAAATTGTGTTCTCCGAAGGTATGAGGTCTGGATGCCACCTACTGTGGCCCCTGCTGATGCCTTAAGTTCAGTAGGTTAAGGCTAAAGCAGGTGATCAAGGTCAGAATTTTACCATGCTCAGCAACCAGCATTTTGATATATTTAGAATCATAGTCAGTTGCTGACCATTCTTGGAAATAGCTTAGATCTGCTCTCTGCTATCCAGATTCTTCAGTAAAATTTCATCTTTACCACCAGGGGAGGGAAAGGGTGGAGAGAAAAGAAATTTCACCTTCATCTTCCAGAAGAAAAGGGTTGGAGCAAACAGAAAGACATATGTAAACCTTCAGTCATTAAACGTCCTTTAGTTGATACAAAATTATCTGGGGTTGTCGTCCACCCTCCCCATAATTCCAAACATTCTAGAAATCCAAAGATACCAAAATAATCAAACCCAGTAATAATAGGCCAAGGAGACTTCTGGGTTTTATACCAAATTAATAATTGGTCTTCTCGGTAGTAAAGTTCAATGTTAAGGTGGCTCAAATTTGTACTAGTATAAAACTTAGCTGGCTTAATAAAGTTAAATGACTTTACTACCACAGCAGTGAGGTCAACATAGAAGGAAGACATACATCCATTTTGTGTTATATTTCCCTTTCTGTTTGGTTTTATTTTATGACTTAAAGCATGGTATAATTGTTAACATAAGGGTATTGTTACAATAGTATAATATTTTATCATTTTTCTTTGAGTAAAAGATTTTAAATGTTTATAATATTATTAGATATGGTTTAACTTTAATTATAATCTGTATTAGTTTTCACTGGCTGCTGTGAAGAACTTACCTCAAACTTAGTGGCTGAAAACAACACAAATTTCATAGGCTCAAGGTCTGAGACTAATTCACTGGGCTAATACTGAGGTGTGGGCTAGCCTATATTCTCTTCTGGAAGCTCTACAAGAGAATCCCTAGCCTTGCCTTTTCTAAGTTCTAGAGGCAGCCCACAGCTCATTGCCCATTTCCTCCATCTTCAAAGCTCTTGATGGGTCAAATATTCCTCAGATTACTCTGACCTTCTCTCTTGCTTCCCCAATGCACTTTAAGGAGCCTGGTGATTACACTGGGCCTTCACAGATAATCTAGGTTAATCTCCTCATGTCAAAGTCCTTAATCTAATCACACCTGCGAAGTCCCTTTTGCCATATAAAGTGACATACTCACAGGTGAGGGATTAGAATGTGGACATCTTGGCAGGGTTGCGGGGGGCGGGTGTCTAAAATTATTCTGCCTAATACAGGAAGGATCCAAATATTTCTTGTGGAAAGCATTGTCTAAATTTTATAATTGTGGACAATTGGAAACAAGATTTACCATGAATTTGTCTTGTGGCAACTTTTGCTACAATGAGTCTATGTTGCTTGATGAAGATCACTTACAATTTGAATTTTGCATGGATGTTCATATTACACTGAATTTATTTATATCATTATTTGATAATTCAGGCTCACTTTGGCTATTAGAAACTGGTTTGCCTGTGGTAAGACAATCAAAACTGCATTATTTCTGGTAGAGGGTGACCTCCGATGGGAAGTGTGCAAGGCTTCAGATTCATTCGAGACTGAACAAAGGAACCTCCAAGGAGAAAATTTTAAATGAACTCAAAAGTACTGATTGGTTTGCCCCATATTTAGGGCAAATATTAAGAAAAAATATCCTACAAGAAGAGAAATAAAAGAGAGACTTTCTTTTCCTTCTAATAATCCAAATCTATTGAATCCAGTGTAGATAATGCACAACAGCCAACTTCAATGGCACAGGATTATCATGAGAAAGCATCACTTCAAATGCTCTGCCCAGAGTCAATGGTGAAAGTTCTTTGGAGGATCTGGAGATATTTTTAGCCAGGAACTTGATGTCAGAAATGTTGTAGGATTCTTTCTCAATAAGTAGGGATTTAGCTAATAATTTCAAAGGGTCTTTGCAACCTGGAAACTCTCTGTTCTAAATATATGCTTACATTAGAAAAGAAACAATTATTTTAAAAGTATGTGACAAACTCTTAATCAAAATTCTAGGTGACAGTATTATTTAAATAAATTGGTTCCAGAGTAAATGAATTAGTTACCTTTTGCCAAAAGACATTTTTAAAAGGCAGAAAGGGAGAAAAACTAACAGAAAAGGCATCATCTCTTGGCTGTATTCTAAGGGAATTTTCACAGTTTAGTTCCATTAAAATCTTAGAATTGAGAATCTTAGTATTTCTTATTAGTAGTACAAAGCCTCAGGATTAAAGGAGTCTTTTAAATCACTAACCACTTTGCCTTTACTTTCAGTGATGCATTTGATTTTGAGATTGGTGTGGTCATAGTCAGAATCAGCCAAGGGTTTGACATCTCTCAGGTTCTTCAAGTGCAAGGTATGTACTTTCTTTATTAACCAACAAATATTTGTTGATCACCTATTCCACACCTGGCATTTTTCTAGGTGTATGCTGGAGATACAGCAGTGTACAATACAGATAAAACCCCTAACGATGGAGCTTACATTCTTGTGCTGATCTGAGATGTGTACACTCCCCTGGTGTTTTCTCCATTGCTAACACAAAAGGCCTTTGTCTAGGTAAATAAAAAAACAGAATAATCCAGGACAGTCATAAATTATTCTTCTTATCACAAAACCACAAAGCCAGCATCACTGAAAATGAATATCTTTGGTGAAATAAACTGCTGAATTAATTTCTGCAAGAAGTTTAAGAAAACAAAGATTAATTATTTCCTTGAAAAACCATGTATTTTTTTTTTCAGAGTCTATGATCTGGTTTGCAGCTAACATGGAAATGAGCCTGAATGTATCAGACTGTGTATCACTAATCTAAGTCCAAGGCAGAAACACTAATTCAGATTAGTGATTCTGCTTTTTCCCTATAGAGGATTTAGTATACTTGTTTAGTCCTAAGGGTTTAAATATACTCTCTTACATATGAAATAAAGGACACATCTAAACAGTCATTGAATTAGGACAGGGCACTAATTTGTGACTTACCTCTTTCTATGAACTTCAAAATAGAGTCTACTGATGACTGACACTAAAACAAAGGGATATTTTTCTAGATGTCTCTTGTGTACCAGGCATGGTGTAAATGAAGTGCTGGGTTAACCAAGCCTAATAAGAGTTTGTATCCTCAGGAGATTCACAGCCTAGAAATGGGTATGGGTGTATTATTCATGTACTAACAAGTATATTAATAGAGTATAATGGGAAAGAGAGGGGGTCATCATACTCTAAGAAGTCTTTCTGGAGGAAATTACCCTAGAGATGAGTAGAATTAACTAGGCAATGTTGGGTGAGAGAGAAATGAGAGAGTTTGGGGATCAGCATTCCTGGCAAAGAGGAAAGCATCAGCAAAGGTGTGAATACATGAGATTATGGAAGAATGGGGTATATGGGCTACCCAAAACAGATATGTGTTACTGAAATAGAAATTACGAAGCAGACAGTAGTGAAATTTGAGGCGGCTGATACATGATCCTGATTTTAAAAAGCCTCATTAGCCATATTAAAAAGTGTGGACATATTCTGCAAACAATGAGGAACAATTGAAGAGATTTTAGTGAGGGGACATGGACTCAAAGTGGACTAGAATGGAAACAGGGAGACAAATCAAAAATCAAAAAAAAAGATTTTTATGATAATCAAAGGCAGAGAAGGCAACAGCCTGAACTAGAACCAGGGATGGAGCGGAAAGAACAACAGTACTTTCAAACAGTGCTACCTGTGGAAATGAGAAACACAGAGGAAGAGTAGATTTAAATAATCTCCTTTGGGAGTTTCTACCAGAAATACCCCATAGCCAGTTAGTCCTGGTCTTTAAGGAGAAATGTGATCTAGAGATGCAGATTTAGGAGATGCTATAGGTCAAACTATGTCCCCTCAGAATTCTATGGTGAAATCCAAACCTCAGAATATAGCTGTATTTGGAAGTAAAGTCTTTTAAGAGGTAAGTCAGATAAAATAAGATCACTAGGATGGGCCTTAATCCAATATCTTTATCAAAAGAGAAGATTCACTCAGAGGAAAGGGAAAAGACAACCATCTACGTTCCAAGGAGTGGGGCCTCAGAATGAAACCATCCTACCAACACCTTGATCTTGTACTTCTAGTCTCCAGAACTGTGAGAAAATAAATGTCTGTTGTTTAAGTACCCAGTCTGTGGTATGTGTTGTGGCAAGCTGAGTGGACTGATACAGAAAACATCATAATTAAGATGAAAATTGAAACAGCGACACTGGAAAATATAACCCAAAGAGTGCATGTAGTCAAGAGACCCAAGACACAAGGGATGAGCCCCAAAGAAGGAACAGGAAAGGAGCATTCAGAAAGGTAAAGGAATCAGGAATCTGTGGTGTCATGGAAGCCATGGGAGCAGAGTGCTCAAAATAAGAATCATCACTATTGTCAAATACAGCAGGAAATACCAGTAAGGTTGTGAATGAAATGCAATTGACATGGCACAGATAACCTTAGTGAGAATATTATCTATAGAGCTGTGTTGACAGGATCCAGATCACAGTGGGTTGAAGAGAAAATATGAGACAATGAAGCAGAGAATATGGGTGTGGCCCAACACCTTTAGAAGTTTGGATGCAAGGGAGAGTGAGATTGAGAAGATTTATCATAGGAAGACCCATCGACCTTAGAATGGAAGAGAGGGGGATATTTTAGATTGGGGAAATGGGTCCAAGAGAAAGTGAGAGACTGAAGGTAGAGGGGGAGAAAAAAAATAAAGGCAACCCGTGGAGTAAGATTCTGGAGGAACAGGATGAATCAAGGGAAGGGTGTGGATGGAAGAGGCAGCTTGAAAGAGAAAAACTAAAAAATGCTTCATCTTCTAAAATTAGAGCAAGAGAGGTGAGCATTGATTATGAAGTATGTAGATATGGGGGAGTGGTATATTGAGGAGGATCATGCACAATGCTCTCAAGTCTCTTTGAAGGTGGAGGAGTCTTGCTGGTTGTCCAGTTTTTGTTTAGTGGTAGTTGGTCATCAGATAGAGGAAGATCTGAATTTTGCAGGATCGGTTCAGTTGAAAGGAAAAGCCTCCAAGGGATCTGAGAGTGCTGGTGCCTGACGGTCCAGATTCTATCTGGCCATGTATGATTACCTCCATCATAACAGCAGGCAGCGTGCGAGGATTAGGCCAACTTCCTGATGCAGCCATTCTGGTGTGTGGTAAGGGAGAAGGAGAAAGAAGAGGAAACTGGAGATCAAGCATTTACATAGGATAGAGAATCACTATCCAATGTGTATACTCTATGATTATGTATGAATAGCTTTAAAAAATAAAACTGAGAGTCTATCCTGTGCAAAACTGTAGCAAAGAGGATACTCTGGTGCCTCAGGCTTCCCTTTTTTTATGTCCCTATTGTCTTTTATGGACATTTTACATTTCCAGATGGATATACTAATTCCCAGTGTTCATGATTAATTCATAGTTCTTTGTAGTAGAACTTAATACATTAGCAGCAACAGCTAGCATTTTTTTAAGTAGGCTCCATGTCCAACATGAGGCTTGAACTCACAACCCCAGGATCCAGAGTCACATGCTCTGTGCCCAGCCAGGCACTCTTAACCATTTTTGAGTACTTATTGCCATGTAGGTACTTAATGTTCACCCATAACACTTGTCATCCCAACTACCCTATGAAGAATGAAGAATGTACTATCTTTAACCCCATTTTACGGCTAATTTACCCAAGATGCACAAGGCTAGCAACTGGTAGAGGTAAGATTCAGACCCATGTCCATTTGAAACTACTCTTCTATCTTTTAGGAAGGAGATCTAGAGAGGACAATGACTAAGATAAGGAGAACCAATGATGAAATCTGAGATATGGGGATGGAACAATTCCTTTAAAGTGGGGGTAGGGACTGCCTGTTGTTCATGATAAAATAGACATGATGTTAACAACGATTACAAAAATCTAATATTAAGAGAGCTGTTCTGTTGCTAACTTTCTACATTTTGCTTTAATTTTTTTTTGCCTTTTGTGCTATAGTGTTTTCCCATCTAAAAAATGAGAATACAAAATACAATTTGTATATAGATTACACATTTGCTTTGTACGTTATCTTGATCTCTTCAAGCCGAAAGATGTGATGTAGCTGGAAAATATTGCTCCCACCTTCACTTCTCCATCTGCCAAAAAGCAACCATCAATATAGTCCTGTAAGGTGATACAGCAAGCAAATTTTGTAGTATTTCTGAAAGAATCCTGGCAGTGAACTGCATCCCTTTTTAATTTCCCAAGGGATGTATCCAATTTATATCAACTTTGATGTTTGAAATATTTCTGCTTCTTAGTCAAGAAAGGGAAAAATACAGTTGGATGTTAACAAAATAATTATAAGTACCAATTATCTAGGATAAACGAAAAACAGTATTATACAAATACATGACGAACATGCAGAAAAACAACAGCATAATGATAGAAATTAACTTTACGCCACACTTCTATGCATTGTTTTGAAGTTTATGTAATTTATGACACCACCCTCATATTAGATTTTGAATTGGAAGAAATAAGCTTGTGTTTCATTATATTATACTGTAATATAGGGCTTAATAAGAGCCTGATAAATCTTAAGTATTGCATTACACTATGTTAATGATTATCATCATAGCTTTTCCAACACAGGCACCACAGTGTCATCACAGATTATAATTTAAAGGAAATATTAGCAATTCAGAGTGCCCATATACTGTAGTTAATAAAGCAGTGAATAGAAATCAGCTTTATAGGTAATTTACCAGCTAATGACAATTATTTCTATACCATGTCACAGGCTTATGTGAGGAGAATAACTTTTGTATATAAATAAGATCGATGCTCATAACATTCTAACTTGTATACCGCAGCAACTCTTCCGATACTGATGGCTGATAGTTTCTCGTAATAAATTAATTTATTGCCTGACAACACCAAAAATGCGGTATTTCATATTGTTTGCTTCCCAGGGGTATTTAGCAAGTTTGCCAACTACAACAAAGAGTCCAAATTGTACTGGTAGGAATAAAGTGATGAAACGTGATCCGCAATATATTGCGGTCAAGTGTTCCATGTAAGTACTACACGATTTATGGCCATCTCAGAGCATGGGGATTCTGCTGTGTCTGATGGAGTGGCTTAGCAAAATAAAGACAGATGGCAGTGTAGTAAATAATTACTTGATTGGAAGACGACCACTGCAGGATTGCTTCCTGCCTTCAATTCAACGAGACTTCACCTGGGGTAAGTCACGTTGATTCATGTGAGCATTTACAGCTCTGAGCTGATTGACCCGAGAAAGAATCATAATTTAATAATTAATGAAGAGTAAGGATGCTGTGAAGTGGGAGGGGACATGATTCCTCAGTGG